TTGATCCAAAGTTCGATTTGGTTCGTCAACAGATACAATATTCAATCTTTCGTGTAATATGGAATTTATTCGATTTTTTTCTTAGGTTGGGAAAAAACTGTCAGAGCTCATTCGAGATTCTGGAAGCCAGACACTTGGGAATGAGCAGGGTAGGTGGCAAGCTGAACTAGCCCAGGTTGCCATTGAACTAATAGGGGTAAGCGGATGATTTTCCTCATCTCAACTTATATCGACAACTACATATGTCTGGGATGCAAAAAAATGCGTAATGCTCCCACACTTGATATTATTTATCATAGCAAGATTTTCAGAATATGCACGTGTTTTTAAGTTTCAATTGTCATTTGATTCTACTTGATCCCAACTCTGTTTGCTACCTAATTTGTTAAATTCTTAGAACATCCCAAGTTAGAGATCGCTTTTTTTATGCAAATTTGCTTATCAATGTTTTGCATTGTATGCATAGGTTTTTTTTTAGATTAAGAGAATGAGAATTGGGTGTATGAGGTTACAACTTTGATAGTGTATTAGTTTGAGTTTTTTGCTCCCCAGCTTGGTAAAGATTTTTTTACCTCTTTCTTAGCAGGCAAACCATGTAGAAACTCTTTGTTGTTAGCTTTCGATATGTTACACTTGCCTTGCTTACCACGTAAATCTTGTATTTCATGAAAGGTTTCCTGGAAGCCCTGAACCTTTAACCTTTTTTTACAAAATGCAATGGACTCCAGAACCTCTTGATTAGAAAAGTCAAGTTCTTAAACTAAACAAAACAAAACGCATTCAAGCCATTCTACTGGGTATTGAATACGCGAATATTGGCTACTTGGCAGCGGGCCACTACTTAGGAGAAAAAGGAGATCTGACTTTCTTTTAGAAGATTTAAGACTTGAGTGCACTAATGGGGTTTACAAGCTGATTGCATTCCATATACAAGGTTACTTTTTTCCCAAGTAGTTCTAAGAAGCGATAAGCAAAACTTTTATGGGAGTGACACTATGGATACCCATATTTCATTGCTTGTATAGTGCCCGATGAGCCCCTAGGGTCTCTACATGTACCTGCTCTCACTACTCACGATTACTCTTGCCCGAAAACAGCCATCATGTTTTTAATGATGGATACAGAGAAAAGAGGAAGGGTTTATCCCTGCATGGCTGGGTAGGTCTTTAGAAGTTTAAGTAAATTATGGCATTGTAAAAGAAAAATGGAACCGATCGTTATGGCGATCAAAATTGTGTAATAGCTCATGCATATTAAGAAATGCTTTACATTCCCCACAACACACACACACACACAGAAGCAGGGGGAGAGAGAGAGAGAGAGAGAGAAGGGCCCGCCGGCTCTAGGATGCCTTCCATCTCCCTTGTCCCCAAATCCCCTCTGGTCAAAAGAGGAGAAAGGAAACTTGGTTGGAATGCAAGAGACGATCCTTATGGAGTTTTTTTTTTCCTTTTCTAGTTTCTGTATGATGCATCTTGTTCCAAATGACACAAATTTGCTTTCATTGCAAAGCACAGTTGTAACTTAATTTTGTTTATGCATATGTAGATTGTGACAAATTCAGGGCGTGCCAGTACGTTGGCAGCTACTGATGCTGCAACCCCTACCTTGAGGCGCATAGAGCGAGCGGCTATTGCCGCTGCCACTCCTATCACTTATCACTCCAGGTTTGTTTTTCTATTAAGTGAACTCTATATTTTGTTGATGTCAATGATTAATGATTCATTAATTTAGCCTCCAAACTGTCTTGCCCAACCAATATCAGGGAACTGTTACTCCTTATCCTCGAACATCTGCAAGCATGTGGTTTGGGTGGGAGTGCTACTATGCTGCAGAAAGAGGCTCAATTGACTCCTCTCCCATTGACGGTGGCCCCAGCATCTCTTTCATATACAGCGTGCACGCAAGAATCACCTTCTGTACAGCTTCAGTGGCCCTCTGGTCGCTCCCCATTTGGCTTTCTATCTGAAAAGTTAAGATTCCCTGAACATAATGATATTTCCAGATTGAGGTGTGACCCAGCAGGATCTTCAATACGGAAGAAGCCACTGGTTTTCTCACCTAGTTTTGGTTCACAATCAAGGCAGATGTCTTTTCATGATGGGAGTTCACAACTTAGTAAAAAGCTATCCAGTGTCATAAAACCGCCTGCACAAGTAATTGTACGTGAAACTCCGTCTGAAGCCACAGGGAAACCAATTTTAGATAGTGATTCCCTATGTAAAACTCCTATTATATTGCCAATGAAGAGAAAACACTATGAGATAAAAGATGGTGGCTTTGCAATACCTGGGAAGAGGTTACAAACTGCTGAGCACGGGCTGTACTCCCCTGCTTGTGTGACACCTCATACATTCCGTAGAAATGGTACATCAACTGATCCCTCTGGGTTGTCCACACCAAACTCAACTAACAGGGACTTGCATGGGCGATCAACATGTCTTTTATCTGATGTGGATGACAGTCCGTATGTTAATTGTCAAGCAGGTCACATGACTTCCACTGACCATGGGTTACTGAATGATCCCCATTCTAGCAATAACATGGAGAGGTTAACTCTAGATTCTCTTGTTGTTCAGTATCTGAAGCACCAGCATCGTCAGTGTCCTGCTCCAATTACTACTCTTCCACCTCTCTCACTCTTACACCCACATGTTTGCCCTGAGCCAAAACGGAGTCTTGATGCTCCATCAAATGTTACAGCGCGTCTTGGCACACGGGAGTTCAGAAGTGTGTATGGTGGAGTCCTTGGAAATCGCAAAGATCGTCAATTTGTTTTCAGTAGATTTAGACCATGGCGGACATGCCGAGATGACAATAGCGGTCTCTTGACTTGCGTAGCTTTTCTTGGGAACTCTTCTCATATTGCAGCTGGTAGCCATGGTGGAGAGCTCAAGATCTTTGACACCAATACCAATAGTGTACTAGACAGCTGCACAAGCCACCAGCCTCCTTTGGTGCTTGTTCAGTCATATGTGTCAGGTGATACACAGCTGCTGCTCTCATCAAGTAATCAGGATGTTCGCTTGTGGGATGCCTCTTCTATAGGCAATGGACCATTACATCCATTTGAAGGGTGCAAGGCTGCTAGGTTTAGCAATTCTGGGGGCCATTTTGCTGCATTGTCATCAGATTTAAGCAATAGGGAGATTCTCTTGTACGATATCCAGACCTATCAGATGGAGCTAAAATTGTCGGACACAACTTTTGGTTCTACAGGTCGGGCGCACATGTATTCTCAGATACACTTTAGTCCATCAGATGCAATGTTGCTCTGGAATGGTGTATTATGGGATCGGCGAGTTTCCGGCCCAGTTCATCGATTTGATCAATTCACAGACTATGGGGGCGGTGGCTTTCATCCTGCTGGCAATGAGGTAACTAAATGTTTATATCGTCTTTCTGTGCATGCTGTTATATATAAGTGCAGATAATTGATTGGCTGTTCACAACTTCACGTTACTTGTAAAATTTATAGCTCCTTTGTTGAGGATTTAATTTCAGGTGCTTCTCTCTCTCTCTCTCTCTAAATGTCCACTTGTGATTCTATAAATATGTAGTGGAGGGAATCTCGAATATACAAGCTAGTAACATGAATTCGATCTCGTGAGACAAGTTAACTATAGAACTACTGTAATGTGTGTTGGTGCTGTTGTCTTCTTTTCAACCCTATAACTTTATTATACAATAATGTTTTTGGTGGGACTTGCCTTTGAGTAACAAGGGGTCGGTACTGATGCTTAGATAGCAATTTGTTTGCGTATGATGGTTGTGCCTTTAAATTAAGAGGGGTTGGTCCATTATGCTCAGTTATCTTGTGTGTAATAGACACGCACTTGTTGGTGGGTTGCATTTAAGTTTGGTTCCATTGCTGTGGTTGATTAATATCTATGATCTCGTTTCAATTTAGTGTGCTCGTATTTAGTTTTCTTACCATCTGAACTTTCGCGATTATCCCATGGTTCAGGTCATAATAAACTCTGAGGTGTGGGATCTCCGGAAATTCAGACTGCTCCGGAGTGTTCCTTCCCTGGATCAAACAGCAATAACATTTAATGCACGTGGTGACGTAATTTATGCAATCTTGAGGAGAAACCTTGAGGATGTAATGTCTGCTGTTCATACTCGACGTGCCAAGCACCCTCTTTTTGCAGCATTTCGCACAGTTGATGCTGTCAACTATGCTGACATTGCAACTATTCCAGTAGATCGCTGTGTCCTTGACTTTGCAACAGAACCGACGGATTCATTTGTGGGGTTGATCACGATGGATGATCAAGAAGAGATGTTATCTTCTGCTAGGGTCTATGAGATTGGTCGACGGAGGCCAACGGATGACGACTCTGATCCTGATGATGCTGAGAGTGAGGAAGATGAGGAAGAAGAAGATGACGATGCTGACGTAGATCCTATATTGGGCCCGGGTCTAGAGGGTGATAGTGATAGTGACCCTGATAATATGAGCAATGACGATGATAGTTTGAGTGATCTCGATGACGATGATGAGGAAGATGGGGATTTTATAATGGATGGTTTTGATTTTGATGGTGGACCTGGAATATTGGAAATTGTGACAGAGGGAGATGACGACGATGATGATGGAAGTCAGATGGTCGAATCTTTCAGTAGTGGTGATGAAGAGGATATTGTGCGCAATGGCTTTGGCTTCTAATTGTTGCCAAACGTTGCTGTAAAACTTTTCCATATGTTTAGATAGTTTGATTTTTTTTTCCATTTTTGTTGAAGTAGTTGAAAGTGTAGGAGCGATTTTGTTTTTGATATTACTGGATAGGTGAGGAAGAAATGAATTATATGATGTAAGTATTCAGTATCTCATGCAAATACCGACCTATCCATCACGAGTCTGAATTAGTTCAAAACATGAACAGATTCCTATGTGGGCAATTCTCTTATGGCCATTGAATGGAGATCGTTTAGAGTTCCCCACGACAACAATTAAACGGGTAATGGTCCTTGAACTATAATTAAAGTCACCAGGATGCACTGAAATGGTCATCGATCTTATTCTTGGAACACATTTAGTCGTCATCGTCTCATGTGCAATAAATGAAAGGGTGCTTGTGCAGACCCTTTATACTTAAGCTCATTACAGTAAAGAAATTGCTCTCTAGGTTTTGTCTCCGTAAGATATCCCTCTGTAGTATGCACGTAGTAACCTTGTAATAAATTCCCATTAGTTTCAAGCTTGAGATATCCGAATCATAAACAAATCAAAACTGGCTTCTATCCTACTCCTTATTATCCAGATCGGTAAAAATCCGAATGCGCTGTAATCTGGAAGTTCGTGTGCACCAGTTGGTCAAAACTTGAGCCGAGCCTATTGTATATACTTCCACCTCCTTGATATAAACACTGAGGAGAAATCATGCACTACATCAATTGCATGTAATTCAACACACTTTATCCTTACGTCATCAGAATTATATAGTGAGTTGCTTTTGTTAAGGGGAAACAAACTAATGGTAATATAACTTTTCAAACCATGCTCATGTCTTCTATGGGGCAGAGGGAGAGAGAGATTTTACCCAAATCCTCATTCTCATTGTCCGATTTCATTTGGCAAGGGACAAAAGACAAAAAATGGCTAATCATAAAAAATTATTTTACCGAAAAACACCAAAATCAAGGAGCACCATATGATTGTGTCAGAGAACCTGATTAGAACAGCATTACTAAATCTGTTCTCATGGGGAGATTCTAAGGGGATCACGAGGGAAAAGAGAGGTTTTCCTGATGTTGTTAAGACCGCAGAAGAGCATAATTACCCGCTCCAGTCCCACTCCAAAGCCCCCATGTGGAGGAGCACCGTACCTGCCCAAAATCACCAATTACAATGACTTGTCATAATGGAGAGAAAAAATCATGTTCCCCTTGGTCAAGTAGCTGACCAAGCACTGAATTTGGATCACAAGGCTTTGATAAGCTAAGGCAACCATTTCTTCAATGATAGCACAATAAACCGACCATTCCTAGGAGAACAAAGATGACCAAACTGAAATACCTGAAAGAGTCGATGTATGTTTCAATAGTCTTCACATCAATTCCACATGCCTCTGCACGCTTGGCAAGAAATTCAGGAACATGGACACGCTGGGCTCCTGAGATGATCTCCTCGCCTGGGACAGAGTAATACAAATCAGAAGTTTGCAGTCGAATATGGATTGAATGCAAGCTTTGCTGGTCAAAAGAGACTCATATGGGCAACTCTCAACCGTCTATATCACAATCATGTAAGGAGACAAATAAGATTTACTGGGTGTCGGTAAACGGCCTGGAGATGCAACTATATGATAGAGGCCATGCAAAAGAGAAAGGAGAAGCCTCATAATATATGCAAAAAGTTCTAAACCATCTGGGAGTTATGGCAGATATGTCTCTATATAAGACTTCATGGTATATAAGAATCAATGGAACATATAATTCTCCTGACATTTCAAGCCTTCGCTTTCATCGATTTCCCCCCTATGTTTCTTTTTGAACAATTTGAACATGCATTTTAAACAATTTCAAACAAACTGTAAGGCCAAATAATCAAGACAAAGGCATAATTCCCAAACCATCAATCAGAGAAAATTTGCTGAGGTATAGAATGGCCCAAAACTTTACCTCTAATAAAAACATCAAATGAATTACTGTAGGCGGGATCGTCATAGCATGGCATGGTGTAGAATGGCCTAACTGCCAAAGGATAACGGTGAAGTATATAGAACTCGGTGCCATACCTATAATCAAAAGAAAGCTTGGTAAGTTAATTATATAGAAAAATAATTGCAATAACAATCAGAAAACTAACTTAGCACTTTAGGCACATCAAAGAATATTGAACTTATTACTTTTCTAGAACCAGCTGACCCAATTTCCTCTCTACTTCTGTGCTGAAGTCACCTAGAGGATCAATCTCAACACCGGCATCCTGTACAAGCATAGTAATGTCAAAGCACCAAAGGGAAAATTCAGCACATGTGAAGATATGCAGGATCAGAGCCAAACTAAATACTTCAAGAGCACTTATCCACACACCAGTAACTGTAAAAATTGGAAAAAGCAACCTCAAGGATTTTGGACCAGAGGCGATTAGTGTCAGGACACTACTGACTTTAAGTATTAAATCTGTAAGTTGCTTCCATCTATACATGCTATCGGACAATGAATTGACTCCAGATTCCAATGCACTCATTCCAAGGGAGACAAGAAAACACAACTCCAAATAACAATAAATAAAGAAACAACCAACCCCTTGTTGACTAGGTGAATCTTAGTCTTGAGGGTGCTTCTATAGATTTAGCTAATAATGAGAGCTTATTGCTAAATATACATGATTTTCCCTACACAATCTACAGTAAAATTCACTAAAACCGAAGTTCCAGCAGAAAACTATCCATAAGAAAATATATTGACCCAAAACAAATGCTGGAACTCAAAAATACAAACTGGATCTGTCACATTCAAAGTAAGTTATTTATTAACCAGGATGCATCAAGCTAGGGCATAAGGATGATTCTGGGAATGCTTTGACATCCCATAAGTTGAGTGTTTATTATCCACAAGTACCAATGAACCCATATGTTGCCATTCTTATCTGTTATTATTTTTTTAAATCTCGGCAGTTACTTAGCTGCTAAAGAATTTCTCCTCACCTTGAGCATTTGAACCCCTTCTTGAAACGTAAGCCGCAAAGTCTTTCTCAAGTACTGCATATAACAGTTATTGCCAATGAGTTGCACTATGCTTTTGTAAACATTACCAATTGTTATGAGGATTGCAAAAAAAAGAAAAAGAAAATTAGATCATATCATAACCTTCAAAGGTTCAAAAGGATATTGTCTTCCAACAGCTTCAAGTTCTTTCTTGCAACTCACATTCAACGAGTCAAACATTGTAACAAACAACTGGTCGACGATGTCCATCACCTGCACATAAAAGTCTGGTTCACTGAACTGAATTGAAGCAAAAAATAAATGTAAAAGTACCCAATCCCACCTCAAAATAATGCTTCTTAATCTCCATTTCAACATCAAGCCCAGTAAATTCACACAAATGCCTGTGTGTGTAGGAGTCTTCTGCCCTAAAAACAGGGCCAATCTCAAAAACACGCCCAAAATCACCACAAATAGACATTTGCTTGTGAAGCTGAGGTGACTGCGCCAGGCATGCAGGGCGCCCTTTATAGTCCAGCTTAAAAACAGCAGAACCTCCTTCACTGGATCCAGCTATAAGTTTCGGCGTATGGATTTCAATAAAGCCTTCAGATAACAAGAACTGCCTAAATATCTGAAACAATGTGGAATCATATAAGTTTAGGTGTCAGACTCAAAACACAGTACTTAAGACAAGCATATATATCAAACTAGGAGGAACCTCGGGCGCCCTTAATGCATAAGTGGCCAGAGCATCAGCATCTTATCTTAAGAAATCAGACAATCTGTTATTTTGGAGATCGGTGACTACAAAAATAACAACAAACTTCTGCATTATAAAGCTCCCCTATGTTTTGAGGCATATACTCCTCAATGATTGGAGGAATAACATAGGCATCAGATAAACTATTTTGGACATTTAACATTTTACATCTAGACATCTTGCAGTTATTTACTGTACATGCTGAAAAGAGAGCAAGACAGAATCTTGTCATTTTTATGGACTAGTTGTTGATCTAGGCACGGTCTGCGGAAGAGGGGACAAAAGGAATACAATGAGTATGCGAATTTCATCGGGGATGGGACATGAGGAAGCTCACATTGCTAACTTGACTCTGGATTCGAAAGATTCCTTGATTGGCGGGCGTGCGTATGTCGAGGACTCTGAAATTTAACCTCGTATCCTGATTAACACGAACGAGCTGCTCTCCGGCCTGCAAATTATGCAAACACGGAACTCAAACAACGGGATAGCCTAGCCGGGACGGGAGCCGAAAGGTAAAAAGAGACTATCGAGGGAGGGGCGAGGCGAGACCTGGAGAGCCTTCTCGATCTCGGCCTCGCTGCGAGCAGCGTCCTCGAGATTGATGGGAAGGGTGGGCAAGGCCTTGCTGACGCAGTAGAGCCTGTTGACCTGAATCTCCACCTGCTGGGAAGCGCCCTTGATGGGGGAGGAAGGAACAGTGAGGGTGCCGTGGACGTCGACGATGGACTCGCGATTCAAGGAGGCCACGAACTTGACCATCTGCCTGCTGACCGACCCCTCCTGCTCGGTCACGACGCACTGCACCGTGAAACCCTTCTCCCTCACGACCACGAAGGCCATCTTCTTCCCCACTGCTCGAACGGCTTGCGCCCTCCCCCTCACCAGCACGCTGCTGGCCTTCTTCTTCATCTCCTCCGACAGCGCGCCGACCTCAGTGTAGGGCTCCCCGACCTCCTCCTTCGACTGCAGATCGGACAGGGGGACCTCCCCGTAGCTGGCAGCGAGGGGATCCTCCTCACCGGGCGGCGAGGCTGCAGCGGAGACGGCGGCGGAGGACTCGAGGCGGCGGCGGAGCTTCTCAAGCTTGGCCTCCTCCTTCTTGGCGGCCTTCTTGCTTAGTTTGGGTTGCTCTTCCGACGGGTGGCCATCGGCTTCGGACGACGCCATGGTGGCGGCGGCGGTGGTGGTGGTGGTTTTGGAGGAGGAGGAGGAGGAGGAGGAGGAACTGATGAATGGGGGCAATGCACTAGTAAATCTCAGCAAGTAGAAACACAATTGAGAGAGAGAGAGAGAGAGAGATAAGAGAATAAGACCTAAAAACCGTAGTAGCCTCCACGCTAAGCACAAATCCCGTGGTCAATCCGGGGGTAAATTCCACCCCCTGTTTTGGTTAGCCCCCGTCCGGACCGGTATGGTATTTGGTTACGCTCTCCGGGACATAATGAAATGGATATATCCGGGGATAACAAATCCGGCCTTGAGGGGTGGTGGAATAACTCCGAATTTTATATAGAATTTTAAATAAAATTAAACAAAATTATTTTATCTTTTGTCGGAGTGATAAAGTGAGTCCGAGCAGCACCACTAACCACCCAAATTATCTCGGTCACTTCCGGCCACCGCACGATCTCTCTCTCCTTCCCCATTTTCGAGCTCGGCAATGGCCGAAGAAGACGCTGACTTCAACCATCCGGCCTGATCTCCCCACCGGCCGCGTCAAGAAGATCATGAAGCTCGACCGAGATGACATCAACAAGGTGAACTCAGAAAAGGTCGCCTGCTCCCACGTAGCTCTTCCTAGACTCCCTCGCCGAGAGATCCGCACAGGTCACCGCCGAGAAGCAGCGAAGGACCATGGCACTGGCCGGGGTTGGACCGGTCACGATCGATCGTGATCGGAGCAATTGCAGCACAGCGAGTTCATCCTCGGACGGCCGTCGATGAAACCCAGCCCCCGCACAATTCCCTCGCGTTACTTGTTTGCTATCGGTCTCTCGTCCATATTTAAACTTGGATGAAATTTACCATCCAATTAGGGCTGCATTCCCAAACAACCCGACTCGCCAATAGTGCCTCATGGTGCAACGGATCCGTACCACACATCCACTTAGGCTGCGTTTGGTTGTCCTGGATTTCTAAATAGGATAGGATTGGATAGGATATGATAAGAAATCCTGGGATTTCTTCATATCCTATCCACTTGTTTGGTGGACTACGGATTTAAAGTCGGATAGGATAAATTTTTTTTTTTTTGCTATTCTCGGGTCGGAGGAGTCGGTGAAGGAAAAAAAGCCGAGAAATTTTTTGGTGAAAGCACACAAGGTGTGGGGATGAAGATGACGGCGAGTGGAGCGTAGGGTTTTCGGAAAAATAGGCATTAGAAATCCTATCCAGGGTCTATCCCACCCCTCCTCGGATTTTTTATCCAGGCTATATCCGGTCTATATCCGACCTTATCCTATCCTGACCACCACCAAACACGGGATAGGATAAAACATATCATATCCTGATTTTATCCGATCGACCAAATGCGGCCTTAAGGTATAGCAATATGACAAAGTTCTATCATACAAGTTTAAGAATGACATTGCACAATGAGTATACAAAATTTAGGATGACATTGTACATTGAGCCAAATATGTGGCCAGCATCTTTCAGGTCACGTTCGACATACGCCTCATATGTTGTTTACTCGAAAGGAAAATTTGGTTGCATTTTATGGAACCAAAGCCGAAAACGAGTCTGCCCGCCTCTGTTTGGTTCAATTTGGTTGGAATTCACTACTCGTGTTCAATTTGGTTGAAAACGAGTCTGCCTGCATCTTCGGTTTGACTGCCAAGCACTTTTTATTTCTCCTCGTTGCTGGGGATCAATACTTCTCCGCCTAATTGACGTCCTTTTGAATATGCTGATATCATGTATACTTGGGGAATCTCAACATGTTCCTGATTATGCATGAACTCTGCTACTTTATCATATGGCTGGGGAATTTCTACATTGACCGGCTCCATTGAACCCAGACCGGACCTAAAAGTGATCACCCCTATCTCTCTTAGTCTCCTCTTACAATACATTCTTAAAACATTTAGTTCTCTCCAATCACATTTTAGCTTCTTTTTAATCCCCACATGCACATGCGCGGGGCTCATTTGTAGAAGACACATTCATATGAGGCCAGCCAAAAAACAAATCAATCCAATCCAATCCTTAAAGATAAAAGCCGAGGCTTGGAATGTTTTTCCTGTAATTGCCTCGATAGGATAGTTTGTTGATGAGATGGTGGCATGTGCCACTCTGATTTATCAAGTGTGTAGTAAGCATTTAATAGGATACACAACTAAGTTATTACCATGCATGAGTTCATATCAATTTCAAGCAGGTGGGATGAAGGTCGTAGTTGCAGTCTTCACAAGACAATGCCCAGAACCTCCCTCCTCTCTTGCACAAGTCGCATACATACGCCTTCGCCATTCCCGGCTTCAGTACATGCTCGTGCCTCGCGTCCTTCACCTCCCTCCCCAGCTTCTCTCCTTCCTTCCTCAACGCCTCTTCTATCTCTCTCCTCCTCTCCGCCGTGAACGGGAACCCCATTGCCCCGTACTCCGACACCATCTCTCTCCCCTCTCTGCTCGCCGTCTTCCCATCTTGGCCTATGATTATCAATGCCGGGATCCTCCGGATGTCGAAGATTCTGCACAGATCTTTTCGGCTCTCATCCTCGTATGGAATGAACGGCCACGGCATGCTGCTAGTGTACGCATCGAATTCTTCCTTATTACCATCTGTCGAAATGAATATAACCTCGAAGCATTGATCTCTAGTGGCTGCTTTGAGCTCAGCGTAAGCTTCCATGAGTTGCTGAGTGAAATCGGAACATGGAGGACTCCAACTTGCCCCGAAGTAGAGCCCAATGGTCTTACCAATGAGATGGGATACCGACAGCTGAAAATAGGAGACGTGCGTTACTAATGCGGTAGAACCAACATGTGCAACAAAAAGAATAGCATCAGTGAACCGTCAAACATACCCTTCCAGCTCCACCGTCGGAAAGGAAAAGATAGTCTCGACCTTCCCCTGCAAATAGGTGCTCCAAATTTCCACCTTCGCGCCTGGAAACATCAAGAATCTTGAGTTCCTCCAGTCTTTTCTTCGTGAAAGGGAACGCTTCAGCTCCATAATCTTCTATCAAACCAATCAACTCATCATGACCCGGCATCTCTTCCGAGGTCAAGGGAATGAGGGATGGAATGCGATGGACGCGGTAGTGTTTATTGAGTCGTCCGCGCAAGCTCGCATCGAAGGGGACAGCGAGCCAGGGCATGCACCGGAAGTGCTCATGGAAAGCATTCTCATCATGATCCAAAGAAACGAATAGGATCTCGAGTGGATGCTCACCAGCAGCATTTACAGTCTCATAAAGCTGCGCCAGCTGAGGAATGAAGGTTCTACAAGGCCTGCACCAATTTGCAGAGAAGAGGATGCAGATTGACTGGTTTTCAAGGGATGAGAGGGGAACCTGATGCGATGGCCCAAAAAAGAAGAGGAAAATAGTGCAATCAGCAAGGATGATCCATGACCAAAATGAAAGGATGATAGAGGGAATAGGGTACGAACCTGGCCATGAGAAGACAAGAGACAAGTGACCCCATGAGAAGCCAAGACGTCGAGAACACTTTGATCGGACATAGCGAGTGCAAAGTAGCGAGAGAGAGTCGTGGAGGGGAGGGAGTGCATATAAGTGTTGGGGGATGACACCAAGTGAAGTGGGGATAAGATCGAAATGAGATGCTTTGCTTGCTGCCAGGGATTGTGCTAAAAGTATATACCCTTTTGGTTGCACGAATGGTTCGGCACGTCAGGGCGGTGTTTACATTGCACTAATGGGGTCGTGGGGAGGAAGAAGTGGCGTGTAAAGAAGGTAAGCTACAGAGAGAGAAAGATGGGTAGGAGAGAACCAGAACCCCATTGCCATTGGGGGCGTTTGGGTGGAAGAATGAGATGCAGATGCCTGCAAATGCAGACATGGGCATGGGCCAGGGCCCTCAAAAAAGCCCATGTTCTGTCAAAAAAGGAAAAAATGAGAGGGGGACCATGATCATGCCGATGATTCATCGCCGACGACAGAGCCAGTGAAGGTCCGAGGAAGATGGCGGCGACGCTGAACGTGTTCGTATACGGGAGCCTTCTAGCCGACGACGTTGTCAGGGCCCTCCTCAATCGCGTCCCTCCTTCCTCCCCGGCCCTCCTCCCTGAATTGTCCGTTCTTTCCCTCTGTTTCTTTCCTTCTTCCTCTGTTCTTTCCTTCGGTTCCCCAAATTCGATTCCATTCGGTTCGAAACCGAATCTCACTCTCACAGTCTCTGTCTCTGTCTGTCTGTGGGTGTTGCAAATGGCGAATTTGAACGCGAAAAAAAGAACAGTCACAGGTTCAGCATCAAGGATCGCGTTTATCCTGCTATTCTCCCCCTCCCCAAACACACCGTCGCCGGCAAGGTCTGTGTCTCTCTCTCCCCATTTGTCGGGAATAATCATTGTGATCATTTCTCTTTGCCTCTTATTTGGTAGACATAGGATGTATCAACTCATTAGGATGAGGACTAGCATCTTCAATTATGAGTTTGCTGCTCCCCCACTGAAAGTCGTCTTCTTGCTTCTTGCATGATTGCCCTTGTTCCCTTTTAATAGCTAGAGCCTGGATGTGCCTTCTCATGTGATATTATTCAACCTCTAAAAATTTCCACCTTGCGGTATGATCATAAGGAATGTATCCTCAGAGGTTTATGCATCCATAGTCAACTGTCTTCGACCAAGCAGTGAACCACCGCTCCTTTTCCTCATGGCTTCATGCAATTTTTCCTCTTGCAGGTATTGATGGGAATCACTGTTCCTGAACTGGATGTCTTAGATACATTTGAGGATGTCGAGTACGCAAGGACCACTGTGCAGGTCACTTTGTTGGTTTGTTCCTTCACTCCTTTCGGTTCATTGCTTTTCTGGCTTCGCGTGTCCCATCTTCATTTTAAATTGTGCGGATTCTCCCTAGTTATAAGAATTAAGATGCTCCCACTCCTCATGATGATTACTTCTTGCAAACCACATATTGTCTTCTCTGTAAATTTATGTCATCATTTTAGTGCATTTGATTTTCCTTCTGCTTTCATCATGAAATGAATCAACACCTCAGATGTCTACATTATCTAAGGGATGATATTGAGGTCTTTGCAGGATGGTTCTGACAAATTGGAAGCTGAAGCTTATGTTTGGAGCAACAAACATGATCCAAACTTGTATGGAGACTGGGACTTTGAGGTACGTCGGTTTCCTTTTTCTTCATACCGTTAAGCTCTTCTTCAGTGCGGATGATTGTCATATAGGGTTAAGCTACAAAGTCTTGCATAATTTGAAGTTGCGGCACCTTCTTCGCGGCAATTGTGATTTTGAACTGTTTTCTACCAACTGAAGCTTTTCTCTTCTTTGTTGTTTTTTCTTTTTAAGTTATCTACTGTTATTGTAACCTTTAGTGATTATTATTATTTTTCTTCTGTTCGTTCAATATAAAATTCTTTTCTTCATGCTCTTCTAAAGGAATGGAAACAAAAACACATGGATGACTTTCTTAAGATGACCGTGGGTTTCGTGGAGGAACTAGAGCGGCCTGAATCCAAGCCTAGGGTGGCGACCTATGAATCTTTCTATCGCCAGGATGCTGATAATTCCCCAGCACCTTGATTTCTTCTCCAATATTTATATTCTGAATTATTTTTACAAATTGCTGGTACAAATTGCTGGTATCATGATCCCGCGTCATTTATCTCTGTGAGCAGCTACGTAAATTGTAGTTGCCAGGACATGTTATTGCCATTGTTCAGATGCTATCTATACTTGGAAGTAGTAGATTTTTCACTAGGCTTTTTCTTGTTCTTCATGGTCTGATTCAATATATATTTTCTTTTGATGCAAGTAGAGAGATGACTTTTATATATAAGTTGGGTGTCCTCGTGTGTTTCCCTGCAGTTGTGTTCATGTCTTTTAGTTTTTTTTTTTCATTGCCCTTGTTTGGACGAGTTGTATGTAGGAGAAAGGCAAAATCACACACAGAGTTTGATGAGAAATGTCCTATAAGATGATGGTGATGTCCATTGGCTTGTGCATCAAGTCATCGCTGTTTACTGTCATAGTTCTTAGTCCAGGCTTTGTCTTGTGTTCAGAGTTCAAGGTATACAAATGCGTTACATTCCCGTTTTACAATGAAGGCAAAGTATTTGTACCAACAGATTTCTTGCTGTGATTGTAAGCCCTGGATTATCATTTAACATCAGTCATTGATATGATTCTTTTGAGTGATGTAAACTCGGGTTTTCCTAAATCTGTGTCATCATAAATTTCCATGCTTTCACTGGGGTCATTGCGTCATGCATATTCATAGTGAGCGGATAATTAATGGTCATTTCATGTGTCTCCTTGAACAATGCACACAAATTTGAGCAGACAACTTTCTCCAAGGCTAGATGTCTCCAGTCAGGCAGGTTCTCAAGATGGACCAATTTCAAGGCTCGTGGCATTAGCTCCTGAGTGGGTTCATTGCTTGATTGCCTTTTCCCTACTTTCCTGGTCTTAGCATGTTTGTTCATCTGGAAATTGATGAGGTGGAATCACTTTATAAGTGGTTTGTTTCAGAAGGCAAACCGATTATTGCCTATCAAGCTGGATGGTATTCATGACTATTGCTAAGTGGTCCTTGTTTTTAGGAGATAATTGGAAGGACCTCCAAAGTTTGGAATAAGGCTTAATTCGACTCTTAGTTGTTTGTCTCTCTGTTTCTCAGTTGGTGGTGGTCAAGAGGAAGTCATCAGCTGTGGCAGCCTGGGGCTGATATCTTATCCAGTAGATTTGAATCATGCTATCCATTCAACTTACATATATATAAGTTGCAAACCTGCTACTGTATTTGTATTACAAGGACCAGATGTAATTCAGGTTGAGGTCCTTCTGTATGGAACATAGGGAAAAGTGACATCTTTCCAGTTTGTAAGTGGAAGGGACCCTTCTGTGGCATTCGTGTCTGGATGGGCTGAAAGAGAGCATCGGCACATTAGTGAGAAAATACCAGCACTTCACCCATCCTCTCGTCCTGAACACTTGTGCAGGAAGCTGCTCTAATTGCAGACTATACTATCAGAACTCGGTGTCATAGTTATTCTTTGCTGAAGTATTTGGCCGGGCATGCTTTGGTTATTTGCAATCTGATTAGACCTTCCATATTAGAGTCTTGAACTCGCTAATGTCTTTATCTTGGTTATGACGGTGAACACAAGGTATATAGATGGCGGGATCCTTTTTCGGAATTTATCTGCTTCTATGTCATATTCTTTATGGCTTCTGCCCCATCATTCTACTTGGTCCCTCCGTAAAGTTGTCCCCCAATAATACTAATGTAGGTCCCTATAGTGAGCTCACTTCAGTTTCCTCTAGGACGGCTTCTCCTAATGAACTTGCTTTTCCTGTAGGTCCTAACTCTCACCCCTTGGGTACAACACTTGCCTGCCTCTCTTCATAAGTGAGAGCCCGTTTCTGTGATTTTCATTGTTATTCTGTTGCTACAACTATTAACGGCAAACAGTTAATGAAGAGCTATTAGAATCATAATGCATTTCAAAATGCCTAGAATGATGTTTTTCACGAGAGAACCCAACAACTTGAGATCGACTGTCATTTTGTTCTTCAACATGTTTGACACGGTATTGTGCATCTGTTCCGGATTTCTTGCAAATCAACTTGCGGATATCTTCTTGGAATCTCATTCTCTTGGAAGATGCAGCTATAGATGGGTAGACATTGGTGGTGTGGTCAAATAAGATTTAGGTGTTGCCTTGCATAATCTTTAAGCAATGCTATCTTAAATTCTTAATGTACTTTGGTCATCCCATTGAACTTGCTCAACGAGGGACGCCAGACTCTCCTCGTGGCTCGGGCTCCTTCGCTTCGCAACACTAGCATTTCCTCCTCTTCTGCTTCTCTCTTTCTCTCCCAGTTAATGAGCTTGAGCTATTAAGTTGAGAGAGGTGGAATATATTGGGAATCTCCCTTTTGCATCATCCGCACTCACTACAGCGATGAAAGAGTTTGTACTCTTAAAGATATGTCATGGGCCTGTCGATTTAGAAAAGTGGTCCTCCTCATTCATGGATTGATCCCTTGTGCGATGTCACCGAGCACTAGAACATGGAAATGGCGTTGTTTGGACCATCGCAGGTACATTGCCCAAGTTTTGTCGGCTTCCACTTCATGCAAATGCTGATTCATCTTTCGTCTTTTGTAAAAGCCAGAAGCAAAGGACAGAGTTTGACCAGCAAATCAAATGCAGCAGTTGCTTCTCAATTATTTCGTGAAATGTTTTACAGTTTTCTTTCCAGCCATTGTTTCGGAATCTCTTTATTGTATCAATCCTAAAAACAGAGATCTGATTCCAGATTCGATCGAGCTGTCAAGTCCGGTCAAAGTTAAGTAGTACATACAAACAAACTAATATGAATGCTTTATGTATTCGACTCGACCTTTGTCCCTCTTTTTGACTGATCCGAAATGAGTGCGAAGAAGAAATAAATATAACATCTCTAAATTAATTCACTTGATGTATTGACCGTTTTGACTCGTTTTATATGGAGCCTCATGATTTTGTCATTTGGCATGTCCAAACGTTGCCTTTACGTCAAAAAACATCATTTGAATTAATTTCAATTTCACATATATAATTCAAAAATGCTTTTCCGCCATTCAATGCGCAATTTGATTCACACATACCCCTTTTCCATCTTAGAAGTTTGTCGGGACTCAACTCCTTGTCGTGGACTGGATCGTGACAACAAATATCTAGAGCTGAGATGATTATGGGATTAACCCTCTCCTTGATTGAGTGAATATGATAGTGGAAGTTTCAAATGTAAATGCTTCTTGGGTTTTCCATACAAGACTCTAGAATCGTGAACAGTCTCTTCAAATTCATGGGAGGTATCCTTTTCTTGAATAAGTGAAGTAATGATAAGGTGGTGAGTGACCCATTTAGACCGGGGATGTTGAGTGCAATGAATTGAACAGACGTGTATCTCACTACACATTGTCATGGTGTTGACAACCTTTATCACTCTTCTGTTTTAGGACACCACGTAAACACCCCAAATTTGTGAAGGAAGAGCAACCTACTCTCTTTTGTTATCCCTTTCTCCGTCCATAGAAATGGAATTGACGGGAATTGGCTTTGCTGTTTTCTTCTGCTTTTCTTTGCGCCTTGTCAGACTCTCACTACGCTGACTCTTGTCATTTTGGCCCCTCCCTTTCTCTCCAATTCCCCCAATACCCCTTTTGATATCTAACCTCAAATAAAGAAGGAGCCGGGGCAATTTCATTTAACGTTGGCCGTCCCCTATATATTGAAGACAGAAAAAATATGTAATTAAAATACATGTATTTGGAGGACCATGAGCGCTCTCTCTCTCTCGCTCGCTCCCTTTCCGCCTTCGCCACCTAATATTGCCCCTCTTCATCAACCTCTACTGCTATAACATCCCAAAGCATCCCGTGGGATGAGATTGGGTGGAAGAGAGATACTTATCAAGTTCTCACGCTCCTCCTAATAGCCTCTACCTTGTATGGTCACTTCGAGCATTTTTTTTTAGAGCTTGACCCACATTGATATAAGAGGAGGATCACCTCAAGAAGATATTTGGTTTGTGGATGGACTAGGACCATACTTAGGTGGGAGAATCGGGGAAGAGGTGGCTCGGAAAAGGTGCGGCTTCAAGCAGATTTTTAGAAGGGTGAAGGGGGCAAAAATGGACTGGACCACACATCAAATAGAGGGAGAATTATTGGGTGATACAGGTCAATATTAACGAGGACGTATACATTTCAAAATTCATGTTGGATGGGAGATACCTTATTAAATGATACCTTATTAAATGATATAATAAGGTTGAGTGGTGTGCAACGAGGCTGGCGACGGGAGCCGCAAGGCCAAGCTAGGCGACGCGTGGCAAGGTTGGCAACATTCGACAAGGTTGATAGGCATGGCGAGGCTGTCCCCTACAGCGATGAAGAAAGAGTGAAGAGAGAAAACATGAATTAGGCTTAGATTTAGGGTTCTTTGTTGCTGTGTAGAATATGAGTAGCCATTGAATGACCAGAAATGATGTAAATGACAGTGACATTTCTTAACTGCAGGATTAATATTGCGGGATGGCAGCAGCAAACCTTTTCCCAAGAAAGAAGTATTTGAAATAACCAATTTGTATAGACAAATAGAGTTCAACTCTATCAATGTACTCAATACATATATAGATAACCGAACACATGCAATGCATGCTTTGGCTAAGAGGTATCGATGTACCTAAACTATACAGTTTTGTGTCCACATCAAATCAATTCTACAGTATGTCGACTCTTGAATATCAGCAAGGTCTGCTATTTCTTGTTAAACGAAAATGAAGGATCCATGTGACTAGCCAATTGACCTAAGTTTCTGAGTAAATATCCATATAGAAAGACTTTTGATCACTACTCTACAATGAAATCTATAAGCCTATCATATCATTTACATCATTTACACTCTCCAGTAGAGAAATGTAAAAGTCCCATGCTGGACGGGAGGACAAATTTACGTGCAAGACTTACTAAGGAGGAGCAATCCCATCCATGAAATTATAAGTTCCCTTTACCTTGAACTGCATGTCTACTTAAGATAGTAGAGCTGTATGTGAGAGTAAATCTACCAATCATAGAGGGTAAAATATTGGATATATGCGCGCGCAAAAAGAGGCTAAAATAAGGAGACAAATGACGTCCCAAAGTTGCAAACCGCATTAGTGGCTCATCGTATCATCATCCAAAGATGCATCTTTTGGGTGAACAAGCATGAAAAGAGGGGTTTGCTTTTTTCATGCTGGTTTCGTGGCCCGTTGAATAGAGCGTTCGAACAAGTCCACATTCATTCCTTCATAAGCTCAGGATAGACTAAAATATTTGCAGTTGGGTCATCTCTCTCGCGTTTTTTGATAAGAGGGAAAGAGGGAGGAAAGCAAAGTTCACAGATCAGGTGAAGCAAAAGGAAGAAGAAAGAGAGTTGGAAGAGTGAGGGATGAATATGGAGTGGAGGAAATGGTACATGGACTTGATGCTTGTGCCCTTGGGGTTCTTGGTGATGATAGGTTACCATGTCTGGTTATGGCACCAAGTTCGTACCCAGCCTCTCTCCACCATTATCGGCACTAATGCTCGTGCCCGCCGCTTCTGGGTTTCCGCCATGATTAAGGCACGTACCTCTCATCTCTCTATTCCAATCAATATTAATCGCGCTAAATCTCTCTATTATATTCTTAATTCGTCAGAACAAATTGTTTATATCATTACATAGTATATATCTACGATCACTACTAGTTGATCGATTCCTAGCTAACTAGAGGTTGCATAAATCAAACCCGCAGAAATTAGCTCCAGGTTAATCAATTCCTTGCTTTAGTCAGTGATTGGTTGGTTGGTTTTATGTTCATGAGAAAGAGCATTTGCGTTTTGACGCAAAACAAAAACCAGTAGAGATATCTAATGTAACCGATGAGACGTTATGCTCCTGAGAAGAAACTAAGCTTTTCCATCTGAAATTTAACTCAACCTCCACTACAGACGTGGAATAAATTGCAAGAAGTCATAGATGGCCTTGCTTGTGGAACATATACTGGGGTTTATCTGGAATCGGAAAGCCATCGCAAATCAGTGTTGCGATTAGATTAAACATAATCCGATTCTTGCTAATTTATTTATCTGCAAGTAGAGTCGCGTTTTTGTCAAGCACATATCTGACGAAGGACTTAAAGCATGAACGATGAACTAATTATAATTCAGATTCAGAGGATCATTTTGTGCTTCAAAAAAATTACTCCTGAAGGAATGATGCTCTTTAGCTCATTTGGGTTTAATGACTGAGATGTCTATCGTAGCTTTCCGTTTTCGTTCCTATCGTTCCTCCTCTTCCTAGCCAAAGCTATGCAAACTTGACATCGCCGCTGCCACCAATTGCCTTCTCGAGTCCTCTCTCTAAATCGAGGTTGGGATAACCGATCTGAGGTTGTCGATCTTAGAGTTGGAGAGAGAGAGAGAGAGAGAGAGATAGTGGCTAACGCGGCTGGCGCTACTGATAGCGATTGGGATATTGGTGTTTCTGTGAGATAGCTACATCACCTACATATGCTCGTAAATGGGCGATTTTAGCAGCCCGCACGCATGCGTATGGATCTTCCAACAAATGGGTTGCCGGGAAGATTCCTCTTATCCTTGCCTTTCACCTCGTGGCCTTTTCCCAAAAGTCATCTTGTCTCATGATACATTTACAATCAATCGACTTCAACTACAACTCCTGTTGGTTTTTTTCTAAGTAACCATAACTAGTTCTCACGTGCTCGCTATATAGGCACGTGCATCATTGCTTTTCAGCAATTTGTACTATAATTCCTATTTGTCGTATAGATCAAACACTTACATAATGACAAATGGTGTCACTACTTTTTCATCATGTAACCCGCTAACTGGTTTGGGATGTGTTAATGCGTGCGTGCACATGCAAGCAGGACAACGAGAAGAAGAACATACTAGTAGTGCAGACGCTGAGGAACACAATAATGGGATCGACTTTGATGGCGACGACATCGATACTTCTGAGCACGGGGCTGGCGGCGGTGATAAGCAGCACGTACAGTGTGAAGAAGCCTTTGAATGACACGGTGTACGGGGCACACGGGGAGTTCACGGTGGCCCTCAAGTATGTCACTCTCCTCACCCTCTTCCTCTTCTCCTTCCTCTGCCACTCCCTCTCCATCTGCTTCATCAACCAGGTCGGCATCCTCATCAACTCCCCCCAGGACAGTGATGGGGTGGTGTCGCCGGAGTATCCAGTTGAGCTGCTAGAGAAGGGATTCGTGCTCAACACCGTCGGGAACCGCCTCTTCTACGCCGGCCTGCCGCTGCTGCTGTGGATATTTGGGCCGGTCCTCGTCTTCCTATTCTCTCTCACTCTCGTCCCCATCCTCTACAACCTCGATTTCGTCTTCCTCAAATCAGATCACTCCAAGCCCAAGCCCAAGCCCATATCCATCAGCAGCACTAGCAGCCCAAACGTAACCATCACCAGCACCTCCTTTGCATGACCCTACCTCTCCAACTAATCCTACTACATATGAAAAATCGGATTTATGTAGACATCGTGTGTATATGTAATACTAGCTCAGAACATGTCATCCTGCCTCCATTTTGAGTTGTATTGCCCACTTCTCGAGCATATCAGAGCACAAACCCCCCCCACTAAACTTATCTCCAACTATATATCTACATGCCTTTTTTTTTAGAAAGAAATACCATGAACGACTCTTGAATTCGCGAAGTTTGGGCTAAAAAAGCAAAAGGGAAAGAACAAAATCTAACAATCCACTCTAGCAGATATGAAATTTAACACCCCATTTTCACGTGTCAATCGGATTGAGAAGGACACATGAAATTGACTGTTGGGAGCACACAACAAAAACCCGATACCTTTCGCTCGGAAAGATTACCAAGAGAAGCCTAAGTCTGAGTTTGTTGATATATCCATTGGATTCATTTTTACTCAAAAGTTTAAGCTAATGAGTGATGGACCTACTAGCATATATTAATTACTTTACACCACACTAATTCTCCAATGTGAGATTTCTCTAACACAACTCACACGTGAATCTTAATATTGACAAATGTGGAATAAGACATACAGGAACTGCGCACGAAACGAAAGATCGAATGGGGCATGAAAATTTGTGTTTGGCTATAATACGAAATAACATTTTTTGAGAGTACTATACGGTTCTAAAAATTGAAACTTGATTTAACTTTTAAATATTGTAACATTCACAACAGTGAGATTAAGAATTAATTTTGCTACAACATAACAAATGTGTCCCAACCAACTACTTTTGTCCGGAATGTAAGATCGATTAAGAATTATGTTTGCTATAGCATAACAAGTATGTCTCAATCGACTACTTTTGTCCGGGATGTAAGATTAAGAATAATGTTTGCTATAAGGTAACAAATATGTCTCAATCGACTACTTTTGTCCTGGATGTAGATACAGTAGATTTTCATGCTTGTAATCCAACTTATAAGCCATTATTGCACTGATCGAGCGCATGGGGAAGTTCTAAGGTACAATTCTCACGGGATGATAGAAGCTCCCTAAACGCACAATGTTCCCACTCAACAGTCCAAATACGAGAGAAATTCATGCCTCTTCAGCACTTGCAAGTTGAAACCACTGTTTTCAAATCTGGACCGGAAGGCCTGTTCAATCGGTTGGACCAAGAAGGGGACCATGGTTCTATTTGGTCTCTCATCCTCCCAGACTGGTCAAACCCGATCTCGACCCGGTTCAACTGGACACACCGGTTGGGCTGGATCTTTGTCCAAATTGTCGACTTGGTGAAGAAATTGAACGAGCTAAGAAGGCTTGTGGGGATATACCCCCAACCAATTGCTCATCAAAGAACACGTGTGTCGAGACGTTTACTTAGTGCGAAGGTATGTAAGTTAATTGTCCAATGGATGAATCATCGCATCAAACAACTTTTTCGATTTGTTCCTTGCACATGACGCGCATACTTGAAAACATTGGTTGGAACTCTCTTTCCTCTTCTTCCAATCTATGTCCAATGGATTCTTCTCGAGACGTTGCCCATCACTGAGAAAAGGGGATGCTGAACTTGTTTGTTATTTTGGAACAATGGCCGCTGACAAGATGATTGCCCCGTTGGGCCTTGATCTGCGTCTCCTTAATACGATTTAGCCCTGAATTCATTGTTTTTTCGGGCCCGTACCCACCATCATAGATGGGCTATGGTCCTGTTTTACGTCTGGATTCACCTCAACAATACATGCTCATTGCGAATCATTCCCATACTGTAAGCAAAGAATCTAGGAAGGAAAATGACACAAACAATATTTGAATTTTTAATTTATTCGATGTGGTTTCTGAATTTTTAAACATTTTCATATAATTTAGGGACTGCATTGAACATGAGAATAAAATTCATGGACCACATTAAACAAATTAGAAATCTAAGGACGACGTTGCACATTTGGCCAAAGTTCATGAACCACATTACACAAATTAAAAGTTTAAAAACGACGTTGCACGTTGAACTGAAGTTTAGGGATCATTTGTGTTATTTTTCCCAATTTATGAAGAATCCCCGAAGGCAGGTAGCGTGGCCGTGGATGAGGCTTCAATTTAGTGAGTGATGCAATTAAGCAAAGTTAGGTAACAAGTCACTACATCACAATCCCAAGATCAAGAAAATAAAGGAAAAGAGAGCCAACAAAGCTACAAAAAAGGCCTCATAAGCTTTTGTAATTTGGCCAGACTTGAATAAAAGAGGCAAAAAAGCTGCATGTTTTCTCATCTTTTTCTCTCAGTCTCTTTAGAAAAGTACTTATTAATCACTCTCTTTAAATAGCACACCAAAGCCAGACATTAGCCTCCCCAACTTGGTTTAGTTTGGAGGGAGGGTCGGTGCCCGTCCAAATCAACTTCGGCTTTTTGCCTTTTGTCCTTTTATATCATCCCCACTTTTGCTTTTAGTCTGATAATTAACCTCTCTCTCCTACCAACTAATCACTCTCTTGGATTTCATTTGTTGAGCTCAGTGAACGTGAAACAAGTAGATTAGCGGTTAAATTCCTCGAGCTCGAAAGATGAGGCAATGGCGTGAAACTTTTATTTCTTTTCAAGCGTCTCCTTCTGCAAAAAGGGAGGGAACGATTGGTCATGCTGATACTTCCTCCTCGTCCTCCTCCTCCTTCCTTCGCCTCTAAGTACCCTGCCATTACATCCACGTAGATAAGACTTTAATCGACTGTGCCAAGACCAAGAAAAGTGACTCTTTCTCATGCTTTGGAAAGAGTATTTCTAAAACCCAACGTGCCATCCACTTCCTCTCTATAAAGGCAGGAGTGAGAGCAGGGTTTTGAACCCTCCTAGCCCTCCTGGTACTACTTAACTGGTTCTTCGGTCTGGATTGGAATTGGAGTTAGAAGTCCAAGAGAATTTAGAGAACATGGAGGAGGGAAAAGCAGGGGGAGGAGGAGCAGCTGAGAAGATGAAGAGAAGCGCATCAGAGTTGGCGCTGGACGAGTTGCTGCAGATCATGATGATCGGCCCCCAGGACCATCCTCCTCTTCATGACTATTGTTATGACAGTCCTCATTCTACTATTACAAGCATCACAGATGCTCCTCCTCTCTCACTTCACAATTGGGTCAGTCTCAGTCTTGACTCTTATCTAGTCCTACCAGCAGACTCGGACACTTAATCAAGAGCATTTGCATTTGCATTGCAGGAGATCAGCGGTCCTGGTAGTGATCATCAACATGACATGGCCCCGACAACCTCTCCCTGGTATCACAGTTTTACCAAGCACTCCCCTCCTGATTCTAACTCGTCCATTTTCGGTAAGAGTCGGACCTCGGTGGACGTGCTCCCGTATACTTATGATGCTTGTCCCAATTACTCTTTTGTTGATGCGGACTATCCGATGTATAATTGGATGCAAATTGGTTTCAGTTGGAAGAAGTACATCATCGGCTAATAAGCCTAAATATAGAGATATCCAAGCAAGAGAAGCCACAAGTGGTTCATCCCGCCAACACTCGGATGAAGATGATGCTGCGACGGAGGCAGATCCATTCGAACGGACCGCAGATGCTATTGATCTCAAGCGCATTAGAAGGTACTGAAATTTTTGTGCCTCTATTATCTGGATGTGAGATCATAATCATGCTCATGTTACAATTTTCTCAAATCGTCTTGTCGCAGGATGGCTTCCAACAGGGAATCTGCTAAAAAATCGCGTAAAAGGAAACAAGCACACCTAGCTGATCTTGAAATACGGGTATATCGCACCCTATCGGCATCATCTAATTTTTTAGATAGGACATACAAGGCATCGCTAATGGCTACTCACAGTCAACCCTTCTTGTTTTGACTCATTTTTTAAGATACATACTTGTGCTTGCCGTTAGGATTTCTTACTTAAGCCATATTCCTGGGTTGCTCTCAGGTTGAGCAACTTAGAGGAGACAATTCTTCTTTGTTTAAGCAACTATCAGATGCTGTGCAGCACTACCGCCATGCTTCTACAAATAACCGAGTGCTGAAATCTGATGTGGAAGCATTAAGAGCTAAGGTAATCGACCTCTCTGTCTCTGTCACAAGACTCATGACAACCCCAGAAAGATGAAAATGATTTAGGTGGAATTTTAGCTGATTTTCATTGTACTAAAAGATTTTGACTGATCACCTAGCAAAACTTTCTGAGATTGGTAAAATGCACTTACTCTTCAGCATATTTGTGCCATATATCTAGGTGAAGCTGGCTGAAGATATGGTGGCTCGAGGCTCTTTTCCTTCTAGCTTGAATCATATTTTGCAAACTTTGGATCCCCAACGTTCAATTAGTACTCGTGATCTTAGTGCTGTGGCAAATGTTTCTCCTACAATCACTGTCCAAGGGGATAATGACTCTTCAACTGGGTTGATAGTTCCCATGCCAAATTCTTGCCTAGGAGTTGAAAACAGCAATCCTAATAATAGCAACTTCACAAATGGAGTCATCCATGATTCTGTAAGCTGTGTGTCTGGGATTTGGTCCTAAAATTCTCACGCTCTGTTCTGTTTGAATTAGGTAAGTCTTTTATCCTGCCAGTCCTGATAGTCCTCTCAAAAGATTTGTCTTGGGTGGTTTCTTCTTGTACTCAGGCTGTCCCTTAAGTTTAAAACAAGCTCCAGGGCAGACTTGAGATGTCAGAAGACTGAAGGACAAGTTGGCATTTTTTCTGTCTGTTGTATCAATTAAGTGATGTATTGCGACTATATGTTTTTAAAAAGCTCCAACTCATGTGATGTTAAACTGTTGTCTTTTTTGAACATTTGTAGTTTCTTTTCGCATTGATGTTACAAAGTAGTTCTATTTCCAGGGCTAGACTCTGTAATAGACTTTTCATGCATTAGCAGCTTAATCTTAGCTGGAAACTGTCTCCAATATTTCTTGTACATATGCAGTAGAAGCTTAGAAACTTCCGATCCGTTGCACTGTTTTCAACATCTGGAATTTCATAACTCAAATGTTGAGCTGAGACATGAGTAGGTACGGTATCAGATGAGTAAGGGAAATTTTGCTTACTGGGCCAATACCTTTGAAGGAATACCCAAGAGACAAAAATGCATTCGTGAGAACACATTAAAAAGTGATGATATTTGCCAATTTTTTGCTAATGACAAATTCATTGAGTCAAACACTAGTAGAGATAAGACGATCAAGGTAAAGGATTCTTGATTGGAGTTTTATGGTAGGTATCATATTAACAGTTACAGGGACATCATCAATTCGAACTCACTAAAATCAACCTTACCATCGAAATTCAAATCAACGACCTGAACCATTTTCTCGATATCTCCCATATTCCAACCTCTGTCCAACCCAAGACATTCGAGGACCCTCTTCAGCTCAACTGCTTCTATGAACCCATTACCATCCTCGTCGAAAATCATGAAGGCTTCTCGCAGGAGCTCACTCCGTCCTGATGCATCCTTCAATCCACCAATGACATCTTCTGCATCAACTTCTTCCTTCAGGCCGTCGCATGGATCTGGCCAGTTGGGACTATTCTCTTCAGCACCTGTCAAACCAAGTTTCTCGACGACTGCACGAACCCTATCCGTCTTTATCTTCCCATTTGCTTCCATTCCGAAGACGGCAGTTAAGGCCTGAATGGTCAGGCCATCGAACAGGGGCGGTTTAGTAGTCTTGCAAGCTGGACCTGGATCGACTTTGGATGGTGGGAGTTCCGAGTTAACGAAGCCAAAAGCATGCCCCATGCTCATGAGAAGACATTGCCAAGCTCCCCTCACGCCCATCCCACCTATAAAAATACGAAGTAACTGCAGAAGTAGTGGCCAGGAGAATGGAAACACAGATGCACAATTTAAGTTGGAGCTAGGACCAAGATTGTTTTATATGTCATATGCAGAGAGCAATGAGATGTGGCACGGTTAGAGCATGCATTTCAGCTATTGATTTTTCTAATATTCCGTTGGAACAACAACTGATGGTAGACCTTAAACTCAGCTGATCTGGCAGACAGCTTAGCTGCAAAATATTTTTAATAAGCAAAGTCTACAGTCGAATGCACCTTCAAATCGACTCGATACCTGTTTCTCGCAAGGGATAGCCACTTGTGTTGGACAGCTAGAATGACATATAGACGAATCAACAATTTGACAAATCATGCATGTCCCTGCCATTACTACATGATCCGAGGAATGCGAGTTTCTAGGCAAATGGGAAGATGGGTGATGGAGAGTTGCAAAGCTGAAGATCTCTCTGGCTTTGATTAATATACAAGATTCAAGATCTGATTTAATGGGATTGGAAGCCACCAGACGGCATGTTCCAAGAAGCAGCGTGTGCGCTGAACCGTGTGGATTACTACCAAAATAACAAAAGCAAGAGAGAATTTCCAGCTATTTCCAGAAAAGAATAAAAAAGATTTGAGAGTGACAGAAACCGTGTTTAGTTTTGGCAAATCTCCATTCCTCTACCGCCTCGTTTCCCATGGACTGGTAGTTGACTTTTCGAAATAGAAATTGGAAATTTTTTATGTTTATGAGGTAATTTTGTGCACTTGAGTGTGTATCTTCGGCATAGTTTACTTTATATCATTTTAACTTATCCTTATGGGTTGCACTCAACGTCATGCACCCATTTCTATCACTATCGATTAATTATTTCCTTTGTAATGACAAAAAGCAGAATATTATTAGAACGTCAAACGTAAATGGACAAACTACTCCCTAACTTATTTAGTACAAAGAATCGTGAAACAAGGCAGAGAGAAATTTATTATGGTTTCTTCAAATGACCGCGTGACATTCCTATTTTCATATATTAAGTTGTACAATTTGCATGGGTAACTATAATGGTAGCGAGAGAGACACTAAGTATATGTCCTATTTTCATTTTGTGCACGTATTATGGAATTGACTGTTCATTATATTCTAACAACAAACAATAATTAATTGTTGAAATGCCGCAGGAACTCACTCATATGTAATCATAGAATATAACGTATTGTTATTGTGTTAAGTTATGTCACATTTAATGAGTCAAGTGATAACTTGCAATGTGACGTCACATCACGAATATAGGTCCGGATCACGTCACACCACACCACACCACACCACGCAACCACACAGAATTCATGCACAGCCATCGATACACAAGAAACTGCACGTATTTTATTAAGAGATTTCACCTTTGTTCTCTTATTAACCAAAATAAATAAGCAAGTAATTACTTATTATTTAATATATATAGTTTATCCGTGATGACCTCAATATTCACTACATATGCAAGGAAGAGAATTCGTGTATATATTGCAAACCTTTTTTCAGATACATATAGAAAAAGAGAGAATTTATGAATAGATCTGTAAAGGCCAAATTGATCAAAATCAAGTCTCCCACCAAAACTACAAGTTATAACCTCTCCGGAGGGTACCACGCAATGACGGGCTCCATACCAGCATCGCAGCACCTTCCTCCTCCATGCACATTCTCTTTAGGTCTCAAGCGAATGCGCACCGCACCATAAATAACATCATTATACGATCCCATACTTTCAAAAAAGTTACGGATGCCCGACTGCATCATTCAAAAGTCAAATGTGTGTGGTTTGCAATTTGCATTATTCAGTATACAAAATCACCAACCATGTATACAGATACAGTTCGCTGGCCTCAGTTAATTAGAGGTCTCTCTGTGTTGGACCCTCTGTCAGTTGGTGGGTCAAAGTCCTGTGGTAATGGAAGATCAAGCTCTGAACACACAAGTTCAATGATACTCCTGGTCGCAGCCCCAAATGACATCTTATTCACGGTCACGGCCATCGCAAACCGATTGTTGATGTCACAGAAACCTGTTGACCCGCCCATCCCAGTGTGCCCAAAGCCAATGTAGGATCCCTCTTTCGATCTAGATCTCTTAAACCCAAGTCCAAACATCCCATCAGGCAGGGCCATATTTGCATAGTCACCATCACCCAAAAATGCATCAAAAATTCCTTTCCCAGAAAAAATCTTGTGATGATCACTGTTTCTACGCTTGTCATCATTACCTCCGCTGCCAGAGGTATTGATACTGCAACTGCTGCTCCCGCAATCAAGCCCAGTGGTATTCTGTCCAGTAGCCGTTATACCACAATCACCATCTTGGGGATCATTGGAGCGGTTTGGTATCTGTAAATATGGGTTCGTCAGGAGAGACAGCACTCCCTTGTTTCTGCGCCCTCTCTGCCTTCTGGAGACTTTTAGGGAGGGGAATTTGGGGATGTGGATGTGGCTACCAAGATTTGGTTGAAAGGAAGTTGAATCTCGTGGAGGGACCAAACCACCGTCAGTCAAAGCTGCATAGTAACGTGCCAGAGCCCTCGCAGAGCAATGTCCATTAGCAGCGGGTATAATTGCACGGCGGATATTAAGCATGTTAAATAGTGCCGGTAGGGTTACAATACTTTCCAGAATGGCTTCTGGCTGGAAAGAAGATGGTAAGTCAGGACGATTGCGGATCTGAGATACCTTGGTCAGGTCATTCCGGTCTACAGTGAGTGTAGCAAGTCGAGATTCCACACCTGAAACAGAAGACCAAGCGATGGCAACAATTGAAGTTGGTTCAGTTACATATGGCCTTTTCAAGGACCAAAAAGAAAAGAGTTTGTCGCCTGTTTAGATAAAAGAACACAAGAAAACATTAGCTTGAGGCATGCCTGGAGGAACTCCAATATATAGTTCTCCTTCAATGTTGAGGGGGTGAATGAAAGCTTCTTCCAGAATCTCTTGGAATTTCTTTCCCGATGCATGCTACGTTCAACACATTGGCGATGATAAGTCGGGGGCATAAAACTACTCAAACCTATCAGGGATCTTAAAGACAAGACGCAACTGATTTCTATCAAGCAAATTATAATGACACGTTGAGCTTCGAATCTGGGAAAATGCTAATGCAATGCATGTCGAAAAGCAAATACATTGCTGATTGGAAAATCTCAAAACTGCCAACTCCTGGCTATGCATGCCAGTTGCGCACAGACACCTGACACGTGCATACAAGCGCACAAACAGATGTGCATGACTGAGAACCAGCTCACCAAAAACCCACACAAGCGCATGCAGAGAGAGAGAGAGAGTTGACTGATGGATTCTTAGTGCAGGATCAAATAGCAGAGGACAAGGAGAGTTTAGCACAAAGGTTTTAAAGAGTTCGAAGAATGATAACACTGATAGCATAGAGAATAATCTAGAGGGATCCAAAATCATTGCATCACACGTGTAGCAGGATATCTCATGGACAAAGCAAAATGAACATCTTATGGAACCATCAGAAATCCTCTAAAGCATGACAACCAACAACTAATCTTCAGATATTATCCCCAGATCAGATAGGGAAAGAACCAGTTAGTTTGAATTCCAAACAGTAACATGGGTAAATATTATCATACCTCGATAATTCCACCACATATCCAGCCAAATGATAGATAGTGATAAAGCTGGTTCTGACCAGGTTCAGTTTCTGGTACTGAAGCAGCAATGCGCTTCAAACATTCATTCCAGTCACATATTAACAAAGGATTTTCACTTCTGATTTCACTTAATGCATTATGCAGACCAGCTGTATGGTTAAGCACATGATGGACCTGAAATGAGCAGCAATAGCATCAATGAAATCAAGAATTTCAAAGGACCACAGATTATCATAAACAAACTTTGAAAACCTTAATAAGATCTTTTCCATTGCATCCAAATTCCGGCCAAATATTTGCTACGTTTTCATCTAGTCTGAGCTTTCTGCAAGATGATAAACAACTTTAGCAGTTTAGCACCCATTAGCACTGGGATGTCAAATCTCAGTGAGTAGACAGGAAAAGACAGATAAAGATCCTATCATTTAAAAAATGTAATACATACACAGCTACACTGCTTCATATTAAAGCAGTAGAGTCCCTTACCCCTTCTCAACCAACCAATGCACCATCCCTGCGGTAACACCTTTTGTGACCGAAAAAACAGGAAACAGGCTATCGGGCTGCACTGGACGGGGATCATACTTTCCAAGCACTCCAGCCGCAGTATCAATTATAACCTCCCCATCTTTGTAGGCACAAACCTAAAAGCAGGGAAATCGATCATATCATGGATCTAAATTATGTATCCCCACAAATTGATATCATTTGAATGATATAAAGCAGCAAGTTCCTAAACTTCTTTACCATAGCTACCACCAAAAGAGTATCAGCCGGATATTTGTGACACATTCAATGCTGCTAACAGGGTCAGAAATTCAACATTTCAAGAGCAGAAGCAAAGTCACAAAAATCATGGAAGCTAGTGACACTCTTGAGAATAAACAAAGTCTGCACCAACCTTGACAAAATCACTAATTTAACCAGTTACAGATAGTGAAGAACATTACTTGGTCTCATCCAAAGAAAAGAACAAAACTTTGAATGTTGGATGGGATAAAGAAAAGTAACATGAATGTAAATAAAGTAAAATCTACCTGGATCCCCAGTATTTTATCGTCATTTCCCAGATCAATCAAGAGCTGTCTCAGCTTGGCCTCCACAGCAGAAAGAACAGGTGTATCACAGACCCACTGGGCATTCACTGCAGGTGCCTTATAGATGGTTCTGACAATAAAATGCAGAGTTGATTAGAATTAAGGCAGACATGAAAGTGAAGGAGTAGTGGATTAGTGTTCAAGATGACTCACCCTTGCAAAACATGCTCTGCGAATGGTCTCATTATGTCATGATATACTATGCGGACATTCATAGTTGAAGAAAGCCCTGGAGAAGTTATTTCATGTAAAGGTTAAGTACACAATCAACAAATTAAGAGAGGTCTATAAGGAAGGGTTCTTATACAAACCTCTCAGAAGATTCAAAACCCGAGAGAAAATTACAATATCACCAGGAAATGCATCAACCTAAATGATAAAAAGACTGTTATTGCCAATTGACTATTCACAAGCAACTTTAAATAAATATAGTTCACAAGGGCAGCTTAACACCCCCTCTGTAATACGGTAAAACATGGATAGCCCCATTCATGCCCCCCAAAAAGTCATTTCCTTCCCACAAATGACAAATGTTTGATGAAAAATATAAATGTGAACATTTTCATAAATATATGGTGACATCCAAAGTTTGACAAATAAGTTACACATAAACCCAAGGGTTGTTGGATCCATGTCACTGTCTTATTATGGCAATCAACTTATGCGGTGTACCTACATCATTATTATTATTCACAAAATGGATAATGAAAGGCAGCATCAACACTTACGGGATTAAAGCGTTTAACTTCCTTTGGGTCGAGTTTCATCTTCTCCTGTATGACCTTCAGATTTTTTGTTCTCTGCTCATTCAAGGATTTCACATTCTCCTGATTACAGCAAAGGTCCATGAGATAAAAGATCTTACTGCGAAAGGTAATATAATACATGGGCACTGAAAACTCACAAAAGCTTCAGTTGCTGGTGTCGACGTGCGGAAAAATACAGTTGTGACCTCCATGGCCTGCTCTGGGATGTCTAGGCGCAATTTAAGTCCCATCTCTGCAAAAGCGGACAGCAACGCCACATGGTCCCCCTGAGAACAGGGCTTGTGATGTCAAATTGCTTCATAAAATTGCTTAACTTGTTAATATAATCTATTATAATTGTACCACTTCTTGTCTAAAGTATTAAAGTTAAAACACAAACCTCGGCAGATGCCAGAAACATTTTTGCTAACGCCTGCTTCATGGGAAACGACAGTGACTTTGTAAGCCCAAAGTCTAGCAAAATTGGGCGATGAGGGGCTTCTTTGCTCACCAGAAAATTTCCTGTAAAGTATCCAAAAACGACCATAAAAGAAAGTAAAGATTTTTATTAAATATATCCATACATGGTACTTTGAGCAGATTCATATTTTCAATTGTCGTTCCCTTAACAATTATACTACTAAAAACATTATCAAAATGAGTAGAAGGGTTGAAAGAGAATACCGGGATGCGGATCACCATTGAAGAACCCATCAATATAGATTTGATGGGCATATGCACGCGTAATTTCCTCAACAATCTTTTGCTTGTTTACACCAAAAGAGTCCAATGATTCAAAGTCATTCAGGCGTATTCCATCCATGAACTCCAAAATCAGCACCTTTTCAGTTGACTTTCCTTGGAAGAAAACCAGATTCAAAGTCATCGAAGGAACTGGAAAGGGAAGTTTCCCCATTCTAAGATAGCTTGGCATAATTTAAAGTATATTACAAGGAGAACAGGAAATGAGGGAGTACAACTTTCTAAAACCAATATCACATTCATCCCCAAACGAGTGAAATTACAAATTCACAAAACAAAGGCCCATGGATATAAGTTTCTCAAGTGAATCAGCTATTTCGGAAAATTCTTAAACAAGAAAGTTCCCCACTTGCAGAGGCAAATTTAAATGAGCTAATGTCAAAAGGATACTTTTCTTGACAGATTGCATCTCTCTCCGGCCAATAAACTAAAGTTAGCAAGTGCCTGAACATCCTCACCAGACAATGTATAAAAGACGAAATTAAAACAAGAAAATAACAGATTCTTTTAGATCTCGAATTTTGGGCTTGTAGGTATCAGTCAAAACACTTCCAGATATTTACTTTATCATGGGAGCAAAGTCAGCACCGCACCTGAATAACTTCTGGAATCAATACTTCCACTCGATGGGACGATGTCCCATCACCATGTCTGTTTTTGCAGCCAAGATTTGTAAACACCTTTCTCGTATTATCTACAGACACACGTAAAAGAAAAGGAAACATACTCAGGAATGAAAGTACTACACAGCAAGACGTGCCTTTTTTTCATAAGATATAAAGGAGATCAATAAAATAGCTTTAAGAAACACGAACTGCTAATTTTCTTAAATAACCTACCCTCTAAGCCAAGATGCCTTCTCCACTTTGACAGACGATAACCTAGTTGTTAATTCAGTTTAACTTTTTATCTTCTATTAACAATCAGCACGACTTACAACGATGTAAAATCTAAAATGAATAGGAATGACATGACAAGATTCATGTTCCTAATTTCAAACTTCACATTGTCAATTCTTCTTGCCACCTTACAAATGTGTTCAATAAGCTTTCCTTAGGTCCGCTTTGGTGAAGGAGAAGAGAAATAGTTAAGGTGGGAACACCGAATGCAGGATAGTTATGGAAACACGATATAAGGCTATCACATGCCATTCAACATATTAAACCCAGTTTAATTTCTAAAAGCATTTCAACAACTTTAACCAGCATAATGAGGAAGAAACAAGACCAGATTTCAGACAGCACGAGTGAACCTGCAAATCAGAGATTCCTGTTTTTTTATTCTTTTTGGGAGAAGCGAGGATTTGAGATTCAAATTAACATCTCTTAAACACTGGCACCTACATTAATGGACAATCTCGCTACTAGTCACATACCGGCTTCACGATTGAAGTCGAGTTCCTTTGGAGCCTCTTTGCACCATTCATCTATCATGGGATTGAAGTCATATTGAGGCTCTGCCCATGCTATCCAGTCAACTATTGACTTGGCATTCTTCAAATCCTACCGCACATAAGAAAGGCATAATAGATATATCACAACTGCATAATTTATTGAATTGCATTTCATGCAACAACCTAGAAAATCATGAGAAACCTCCAATATAATTGTTTTTATGCCCTCATGTTGAACTTTAACAACTACTTCCTGTCCGTCCATTAACGTTGCACGATGCACCTGTGCTATCTGCATGGACAAAATGCAAAGATTAGGAAATCTAGCACGAAATAGTCTCCAAATACCCCCACCAAGACCAACAGTTGATGTTTATCCCAGCAAGATTTAGATTTTATTTCACCAATATCAACTATACTTAACAGATGCTGTAGCCAAAGGGGATTCAACAAACTTAGAGAATAAGTCATCAATAGCTTGACCCAACTCCCTCTCTATAGTCCTGTGGACCTGCATAAGACATTAGAAGAACACTGATCAATTGCTAACTGAATTTTCAGACGAACAAGTTCACGAGAATATCAGAAAGGGAGCAGAGAGCAAATGGTGAAATAAAGTAACAAAAAAAATTAAGACACAAGAAATACTCTGCAAGAGATTAAGATACAAACTTCATCCCACAAAGCACGTCTGCACCACTAACAGATGGACCTTTTACCACTCAGCTTACAAAAGAAATGTAGAAATTATGCGAACAGAAACAAACATACATTAGGGTAACATATCAACATTAGGGACAGAGAATCATGATTTTTGTGTACAGAAAGAATCCGCTAATCACAAGAGGTATCCAACAACATTAGGGTGGCAGCCACATTAGGTATGAACAGCTTAAAACCTCAACCTTAACAGGCTTTGTACATCTGCACCATTTTCCACATTAACTTAACATGCTCATGAGACAACATAATTTTCTCCAAGCATATCAAGCCATTACTTGGAGAACAGATTCCCACGAGGAAAACCTTTAGAGAAGTTGCTTTCATCCTGTGGAGAGAAAAGTGAGTATAGAAATAATAGTAACACAAAAGACATGATGTACTGAACCTCTTCTAAGGGACGAGGAGGAAGTGAGTCTTGTAATTGCTTGAGAAGGGTAATGTAAGCCTCAGGAAGCACATCAGCGCGTGTAGAGAGGTACTGTCCAAGTTTAACCCACAAACCTTCTAACTCAATAATCAGCTTGAGAACACGTCTTGCATTGCGCTGATGAGCCTTCTCCCACAAAGCAGAACCTTTAGATTTGCTAGCCCATTTTTCTCTTTGTTGCAGCGCCTATGCGATCAATATAATTATATATGAGAAAAAGCATAGCAAAAAATAATATAAGAGATCCCACCATCATAAAACACAATAGATAAGAAAAAGGTAAGAAAGGTTGGCAAGCTTTACCTTATAATCCAGATAAATTACCAAAGCAACAGAGAACACTTTCATTCGCCTTCTGTAAATGTTCCCCCATCCCATCAGTGGCAGCTAGAAGAAGGCTAAGGAAATATCAGTGGAGTAGGGCAGTTTGGAAGCTAGAATCTAGACAGACCTACACATTGGAGAAAGGTAACTGGGGAACTCAGTAAATTCACACACAGAAATAAGACATCAGCATATTACAATAAGGAATTTCGAATTCTACAGGGGGGGGCCCAAAGCATTTCCCTAAGTTATACACAAATGACGCAACTCTCTTGAGATATCATTGAACAAGTGAAGTGTGTTATGTTCGAATACGGAAAATAAACTCCGTGCACTGGAGTTGGCTCTCCTCAAATTTTGATCCATAACTGTTCAACAGTCTATAAGAAAAAAATTCAATCGATCAAGTTCTTGGAATAGTCTTTTGATGTAGGGGTTGAAAAACTGTAGTCCAATCTAAGCCCCATGCAACAACGAATGACTCCTACAATTTAATAGTTGTAATTACAACAGTGAGAGAATATTCACCTCTGATGTGGATCATTGCAATCATTAAAGTTACTTAATATTAAAAGAAGAGAAAAGAAAAGAAAACAAAGGGTGCATTTCACCTATAACCAGACTTAGCCCCAGAAATATCTTTCAGATGCATCACTATTATACACGCATATAAGAGAATTTGCTATACCTATAGCCATACTTGACGACTCAGTTATACTATCTCCATCCGAATGAGATTCTCTACGCTTCGTAAACACCATAATTAACGGCCTGAAACAGGCCATGTTCGGCAATCGAAAGCAGCAACAGCTGAGAATGCATCCCCAATTCCCTCACTAACTGCACAAGCTCTCTCTCTCTGATACAATCTCATTCCTCTTCTCCGAATCAAACCTTCCCCAACTCTCTTCCGGCATGGGATTCCTCATCAAACCATGAACAGAAACCCTCTACGCTCGGTATTGTTTCCCCCCCCGGTGCACAGTAAATCACGCGCTCGAAAACGAATCACGCAGCAGACACAGCAGACGGATATATCTCGATAACCGCGTACGACAGACCAACACGAACACGACGCAAGAAGCAAGAAGGCGCGAGGGAATTCGGGGAGGGGAGGGGGAACGAAGGACGTACGTTCACGGCGGAGAGAATCAACGCGACGACGAAAGGCCGAAACGAAATCTACCAAAAGAGAGAGAGGGAGGGACGAACGAACCGGGGAACGGAGAGGGGGGCGGGGCGGGGCGGCGACCAGGGAATTCAACGCGATGAAATCTCCACCACCCAAAGAGAGAACGAAATGGAAAAGAAGTCGTCGCCGCAGCAGCGATCGCCTTGTGGTGTTGGTGTTGGGCGGCGTTCGTGGGTGACCGAAATTTCGCCGCGTGGGTTAAGAAGAACAAACAAAGCAAGCAAGGAAGGACGAGCGAGTTGACTCAGTGGCCGGTTTTGTTGGGTGAGGGAATTTTGCCTCCCGTCTTCTTCGTCTTCCCTTCTTTTCTTTTGCCCCAAAAAAGCTCTAACATTACGTGTCGGGGTCCGTGACGCGAGCCCGAGTCGGCGCTTACGTGGCCACCCACGGTTCGAAGTTTTAGCTAGTTTTATTCCTGGTGCTCCATGCCCTACCCACCGTCGCGCTAACAAAACCCCCGCGCGCAAAAGGCATCCAACGGGTCGCGTGGAATCGCTGAATTTTGATGTCGTCCGTCCGATCGATCCGGCCGACCGTGTGGACAGCCGGGGTGTGTGGGCCTCGCGAACGCCGTCCGTCCCTCCCAATCGCGCGTTCCTCGTGTTTCCGTGGCCCCAACATTTCTTCTAGCTAACCAACCCCTCCTCGGTTGCTCCACCGCTCCATCTATCCAACCACCAACTGCCAAAATGGGGTCGCGTCGTTAAGGAAGGGGGGGGACAAGCATTTGCTACCTCCTCACGTGGGGAGAGATATTTTTCTAAATTTCTGTTACGTCGGCAGAGCCGGGACGACGGGCCGCTCGATACATCTTGGAAAATGCGGATGGAGATTTTTCTTAATTTCGATTGCGCCGGTGGAGCCGGGACGACGGGCATTTAGTACATTTTCCGAAATGGGGATGTACTAACGAACACGATATTAATAAATGGAAAAGGGAAAGCGGAGCGCCCCCTCTTTTTCAGAGTGGAGCTGTTTCGAAAGGGATTGTTGGGATTTTACTTGCGGGAAAAGCCAACTACTACTTACTTATTCCACAGCTTTAACGGAAGACTGGCCCTACTGCCATCTTCAATCCTATTCGTGGAGCTCAAGGGAGGAATATTGTCAACTTTGCTCAACCTCCCCTTCTTTCTTTAGCTTTGATTGGCCCCTCGTAATCGTATTGTCCTTCTTGCTTTTACCCTATTGCAATTCCAAAAGGATCCTAAAGCCCAGTAGGCCCACCTCAAATGGTACGTCAAAGGAAAGGTGGGCCATGAAGATTTAGGTTCCGTTCGTTTTGTGGAGTAAAATATTTTTCTAGAAGTCATTTTCCAGGAAAATGATAATTTTTTTCAGTGTTCGGTTAAAACCTGAAATTGAATTACGCCGTTTGGTATTGATGATTTTCCTCCGTACATTCATTTTAATAATATTTTAATTTTTTTATCTTTTGAAAAAATCGAATTTTTAATTATTATTGTAATTATATTTTTTCCTTTTTCTTTTCCTTCCTTTTCTTTTTCCTTCTTCATCGGCCAGTCACCGGCGAGCAACCACTGGCGAGGGATGGTCGGTGAGCTTGTCGCTCGCCGATCTGGCGAGACTCGAGCTTGCCAACCTCAGTCGATTTAATGAAATTAGAACAATATAATGAAATTAGCTTGCCGGCCTTGGGCAACCTAATGAAATTAGACTTGAGCTCGCCGAAATCATGTTCTGGCCCAAAAGCCTAAAATATAACCTTATTTACTAAGGGAAACATTTTGAGTGTCTTTTCGAAGAGATCTGATGAAATTAGAACGATATAATAAAAAAACCTTCTAACTATATTACTAAAATTGAAATATGTAAAATCTGATAGTTGAAAGATTAAACCACGAGAATATAAACGAACTTCTCAATCCCGTAACTGGTGCATGGGCGGCCAAGGGGGCACTGCCTCTCCCCGAGTCCATACAACTCTTGAGCTTCTATCCTTCTGGAGATCCAATCTACATAATGTCGAGCTTTTGAAAGGTCAAAATTAACGAGTTGGCAAGTTGACAACATTGACGCATTATCAACTCAATGAAGGCTAAAATTATCGCATGGGGGCAGATGTAATGCTATCTCACGACGTGTTTAAAGGTTTGGATCGAAATTGTATGCATGGCCCAATAGGGAAATCCCAATGCATTGGGTACAATCAAATAGAAAGTCCCAAGGGAGTCATATTCTAGGAACCCAAACTATGTGATCGAATAAGTCCTTTGCTATCTGTTGCAAGTCGAAGACTCCTTCTCTTTCCCCCTCATCAAACTTCCATTCGTATTTTTCATGGAGAAATCTCTTATCAACGACAAAGAAAGATCCAATGGTGACCAGCTGGCAACCGGCCAGCATCCACGTCAGCAAAATCCGGCCAAAATTGACCGGAAGGACTGAATTAGCACGAAGACAAAAGATTTAGGACTGAATTGGCACCAATGCAAAATGTTAAGGACTGAATTGGCACCAAAAAAAGGTTTAGGACTAAATTAGCACTAATACAAAAGGTTTATGGCTAAATTGGCACCAAAAAATGATTTAGGACTAAATTGGCACCGATGCCAAAGGTTTAGGACTTTTTTGACACTTTTCCCGAAATGATAGTGTACACTTCGGAAGTTCTTGGGAGTGCTTTTAATATTCTTCATGAGCTCTTTAAACATTGTAAGAGGCTTATGACAAGATACTGAGTAAACTTTGGGTATAATCGTGAAGACTTAGGGAAGTCGGTGTGCAAGAACCTAGGACCAGCGACCGCATTCTTGGCACATTGCTATGAATCAAGCGAGTCCGACATTGAAAATGCCCTTAACAATGCTGTTAACGAGCATGGAAAGCTTGATATAATTATGAACAATGCTGCGGTCGGCGATGAAGCCAAAGCCAACATATTGGACAATGAGGAGGCCAACTTCGAGAGAGCGGTTAGTGTGAATTATACGGGTTAGGGACCAAGCAATAGCATGCGGCTCAATGATTCTATCACGAAGACAAAGCATCATCAACTTCGAGAGAGTGGTTTAGTGTGAATTATACGGGTTAAAGTGTAGGACATTGTAAAATCACGGTTACTTATTAATATTGGCCCGGGAGATGCGCTATATTTTCAATTCAAGTACACGTGGCAAATATAAAATCATATTATTTATTAAGCTAAACCGGATTCTCAATGTTAGTATCTTTATATCGTCAAAGTTACCACTTTTTCCCATCATAATATAGCTCCTAAAGTGCATAGTTTATCTTCCAAAATACTCGAGGCATAAAAGTTTCCCAATTTCCCTCTTATACATGTGAATGTATTAGTCTATTGATATGCATTTGCAACATGTCTGTGTTATGAAAGATTGAGTGCGCTATATTTCTTAAACTTATTTATAATAGGTTTTTCATCTGATTATGTTTTTATTTTTAAACAATGAGCGTCTATATAATAAGAAGACCTTGAGGCTAGGAAATGGTTTGACTCTTTCATCAAATTGGAAAAATAAATTTTTTATCTATTTTTTGTTGAAGCTATTTCTGTCAGAGTTTACAAGAAAATTAAATAAGGATTCATAGGGGAAAAGTGCCAAAAAAGTCCTAAACCTTTTCAATTAGTGCCAATTTAGTCCTAAACCTTTTTTTTTGTGCTAATTCAGTCCTAAACCTTTTGCATTTGTGCCAATTTAGTCATAAACCTTTTTTTTGTGCCAATTCAGTCCTAAACCTTTTAAATTAGTGCCAATTCAGTCCTAAACCTTTTGTTTTTGTGCCAATTTAGTCCTTTCGGCCAATTTTGACCGGAATTTGCCGACGTGGACGCCTGCCGGCCGGTCACCGGCGCCGACGTCGACAACTTTAATAATAATTTAATATTTTTTTGAATTTTTATTTTTTTCCTTTTTTTTCTTTTGTTTTCCACTTTTTTTTTTGGTCTCTCCCTCCGTCCTCTGGCCGGTCGCCGGTCCGGCGACCGGCCAGAGGCCAGCGAGCTCGATCTCGCCGGCCACTAGCGAGGGCGAGCCTCACCTTGGTTGGGCAAGGCTCGAGCCCTCTCCGGAGGCCACGGCGAGGGTGAGCCTCGCCGGATATGACGAGGTCGCTGGGCGAGGCCGCCCTCGCCAGTGGCCGGCAAGGTCGAGCCTCGCCCAGCGACCTCGCCAGATCCGGCGAGGTCGGGCCTCGCCGGACCATGGCGAGGCTCGCCCTTGCCGCGGCCTCCGGCGAGGCTCGCCCTCGCCGGGCGAAGCCGCCCTCGCCAGTGGCCGGCGAGGTCGAGCTCGCCGGACCGGCGACCAGCCAGAGGAAGGAGGGAGAGACCAAAAAAAAGTGAAAAAAAAGAAAAAAAAGGAAAAAAATAAAAATTCAAAAAAATATAAAATATTATTAAAGTTGTCCATGTCGGCGTCGGTGACTAGCCGTAGGCGTCCACATTGACAAATTCCGATCAAAATTGGCCGGAATGACTAAATTAGCACAAAAATAAAAAGTTTAGGACTGAATTAACACCAGTTTAAAAAGGTTTAGGACTGAATTGACACCAAAAAAAAGTTTAAGACTAAATTGACACCAATGCAAAAGATTTAGGACTGAATTGACACCAAAAAAAGGTTTTGGACTAAATTGACACTAATGCAAAAGGTTTAGGACTTTTTTGGCATTTTTCCCAAGATTCATATGAGATACGCCATAGTGTAAAATTTCTTTTACGCAAACAATCACGAAATGAAAGCTCTCAGTTATTAATGGAATTACGTAAACAGTTACTAAAATTAAAAATCGTTTGCATGTCGGCATATGAATCGTACTTGTGTAATGATGTTTTTATTTTTTTATCACCGTCGGTGTACCAAATAAATATCCATCAATAAAGGGATCAAAGTTGGAAATATTCAGCTCTTCGTTGACTTCTTCAAAGTGCACCAAAATACATATTGTTACTCAAATTAGACGTAAGATGGTTGAGTGAGATTGCTTGCTATGATTGTCTTTTGTGATGATGAATTAGTAATTACTCGTATATAGCATGTACTAGTGCACTCGTGAAAGAGAAATATTAGGACTTAGGAATACTAAACTTAACTTACTTAATAGTGTACCACGTTCATATTGGTTGTTTAAATAAGTGGCCCCATACATAAATAGATAAATAAATAGAAACATATATGACAGTCCAATTGCATTCATCCTAATTAAACACTAAATATAAGTTTGTTCAGAGCTTCGATCTCGAGTGGTCAAGCAAGTTGGAGGACCGTGCAGGAAGCTGCAGACAATTCCAATCGTCCTCATCCTCCATTGCTTTGAATAGCATATCCACCGTTTCTGATCCGACTAACTCTAACTTCGGGGGCTCCCACTGTGTTCATAAAACTAAAATTAGGTTCAAGATAAACCATTTGTTCCAAAAGGTTAAATTGTCAGGAAACATACCAACAATATATTTATAACTTATAAATTAACATAATTTTTTATATTTATAACTTATAAATTAACATAATTTTTAGCTTATACTTTACCGGATGTCAAATCTCTGGGAGGCTTCTCTTGAACTCATTGAGGTTAAGTACTTTGAATCTTTACTACTAGGATAATGTGCAAGAGACTCTACGGTTTGTTATTGCAACATATATCCTCTCCCTCCCATAAATTCGTTAAGAGAAATGAATGATTTGGTCCGTCTTAGTTTAGCCAATATACAACTAATGACAGATAAAGCCAAGTACCAATCAAAAGGTTTGGGAATGAAACAAAAAGATGTCTAAAGCAGGATGTCGTAACCATACTAAATGTCAAATAAAATGATATATTGTTGCTCTTTCTAAATAAAGTACATATGCTTGCACCTTGGGCTTTTTGTCTGACAAAAGGACACTACAAGTGTCATAAGTTGTGTACGGAGATCACTTTGGTGCCATAACCTTTTTTCTGATCACTTTGGTGCCAAGTCGGAGGAAAAGAGATCACTTAAGTGCCAACTCCGGTAAGTTTGGCCGGAAATTCGACGTTGCATTTTTTATTAATTTCTGACGCCAACGTGGCTCGCCGGAGGATAAGTCAGCGTGTACAATAAGCATTTTTTTTATTTTAAATATTTTTTTTCCTTTTTTTCTTTTTTTTTTCCTCTTCTTTCCTTTTTCCTTTCTTTTCTTTTTTTCTTTTCTCCCCTCGCCGGCCCGTTGCCGGTGGCCGGCCCGGCCATCGGCAAAGCCTGGGAAGGGCTGGGCGAGGGCGGCCTTGCCCATGGCCGGCGAGGGGCGGCCTTGCCAGATCTGGGCGAGGCGACCCTCACCGGCAACGGGCGAGGCGACCCTCACCGGCAACAGGCGAGGCCGCCCCTCGCCGGCCATGGGCAAGGCCGCCCTCGCCCAGCCCTTCCCGGGCTTCGTCAATGGCCGGGCCGGCCACCGGCAACGGGTCGGCCACCGGCAACGGGCCGGCGAGGGGAGAAAAGAAAAAAAAAGAAAAGAAAGGAAAAAGGAAATAAGAGGAAAAAAAAGGAAAAAAAAAGGAAAAAAGTTATTTAAAATAAAAAATGCTGACTGTACACGCTGACTCATCCTCCGGTGAGCCACGTCGACGTCAGAAATTAATAAAAAATGCCACATCGGATTTCCGGCCAAACTTACCTGAGTTGACACTTAAGTGATCTCTTTTCTTCCGACTTGGCACCAAAGTGATCCGAAAAAAAGTTATGGCAACAAAGTGATCTCTGTACACAACTTATGGCACTTGTAGTGTCCTTTTGCCAAATTCCATATGTTCTTTATTAGAACTCAGCATGTATGTATGATTCCCTTGCATTTATCACGACTTACAGTTATATGAAATAAAATTAAAAGAGAGCAGATCCGAATTTGATCACCTGTTAAGATGGAGCACATATTTCCGATAACATCACCCCCAGCGCAAAATGCTTTTCCGTTTCCCTAATGAATATTTTAGGAAGAGGCGAAGCATAACATAAATGATAACATTCACCAAATGCATATCTCAAAGAATGTGGGCGTGCAACGAACGCTCATGTCCACAATTAAGTTAACTTAAGGCTCCGTTTATTTCACGGAAAATAAACTATTTGGAAAATTATTTTTAATACACGATCGCTTGTATCGTTTACGAATATAGTTGAACAAAAAATATTTTTGTTATTAACAAAAATGTTTAGACATAAATTATCGTTAATAATGCAAACATTTTCCATCGACTGATCATTTCAAGTGATCTTTTTTAGGAAAACCATTTCAGATTAATCATTTTCTACGAAACAAGTAGAGCCTAAATTAAATCTAAACACTGCACAAGAACGTAAAACACAAGAGGGTGTTTCCAAACTTTTTTTCTTCTAATTATGCGCTTCGCAATTTACACCCTTTCAATTCCCAAAAAATTGCATATTTAGGCTCCGTTTGTTTCGTGAAAAATGAATTATTTGGAAAATATTTTTCTAAAAACTATCACCTGTACAACTTGAAGTAATTAGCCAATGGATTATGTTCTCATTATCAACAACAATTTATGTCTAAACAGTTTCGTGGACGATAAAAACATTTATCGTTCATTCATTTTTGTAATCAACACAAGCAATCGTTTTTAGAAAAATATTTTCCAAATCAATCATTTCCCGCGAAATAAACGGAGTCTTAGATATCACAATACAAGGCCTCTCTTCAAGTGCACACATCGTTTCAAATATTTCTATCAAAATTCATGCCATTATATGTGAAACAACACAACCCTTGCTCATATCTTTTATGTGTTAAACAACACGACTTTCTAATCCTGGAATGTCTATCAGACATGCCATCAAAACTGTGTTGGTTTTGTTACAGTGAAGTAATGGTCATCTCTATGTTAATTTACTCATATATTTTAAATATTGATTATAAACATTTCGATATGAAGATTGATTAAAGTGGATAGTTAAGGAACTCCAGTCATTTACATTTTTTTTTTTGGCGTAAGCAATTTGATGAAGAAAAAATCGATAGGAATAAAGGACATGCATGAATACAACCTGTAATTACCTTCAATATAACAAAATTGACAGTATGATCGTCCTCGTAGATTTGCAACTTCTTAAACATCTGATAAACCTGCGTGCTCAGAGGAGATGACGGCATACATGATTAATGGAGACATATAAACAAGCAAAGAAAGAAGAGAGGGACGCACCATTTCGAAAGTGAGGGCGTTCAACTTGGAAGGTCGGTTCAAGATCACCTTTCTCACTCCTGAATGCTCTTCAAACAGTACCTGCGAAAGCCAATTGAAATCATCGTCTATCAAGCCACCAAGCATGACCTACATTGATATGGTTGGAGATCAATGAGTAGAGACGACGCACCGGCTGCGCCTTTAAGTCTCTACGGAACAACTCAGTGGAGCTCAGAGCCTGCATCCTTGCCCCCTCTCTCTCTCTGATCTCTCTCTGATCTCTCCTCTTATTAGGGCTGTGCAGGCCAAGCTAGGAAGCTCAGTTCCCTTTTATAAGCAGATCGAGTAACGCTGTCGTCACATTTACACAACTACATCCACAATACTTAATGACCATATGTAACCGCATCAACGTAGCTGAACGTGGGACACTGTTTCAACCACCAGACGAACGACAAACATAAAAAGAAAAAAAAAAGAACCCTTTCATAAACATGACAAACACTTGCATGGCTTGGCAATAGCAAGGAGCAATAGCTATCTTTACCGGTCGCTCTCTCCATTCACAAGGAAGGTCTCTCTCGATAGCCAGAAGGTGAGTTTAGGCTAGTGAAGTCTAGGATGGCAAGGTCATTTAGGCTAGTGACCTTCAATTCAAGTAATTTTTTCAAGAGCAAGATGCAGTCAGACCCGCCACCAATTTTCATCCCACGAGAACGGAACTACCTTAGAAGTAGCTAACTGCTACGCTTATGCCTTTTGATTAGATAACTCCTAGTGGCTAGCTAACTAACTAGGATTTGTTAAGAGGATTCACGAAAAGAGAAAGAAGAGCTAGCTACTCTGACAAATCAAGTCTTGCTCGCCTCGAGGCAAAAAGAAAGGCGGATTTCCTATAGTTGATAAGTGAATTTCTTCTTTAATCGGTTAATCTCGTCCGTAGACTGCTACGGTTAGCTCCCCGGCCTCTTTAAGCTAGCAAGCCATTTGGCTGGCAAAAGTACACCACAAGTGCCATAACTTGTGTACGGCGATCACTTTGGTGCCATAACTTTTTTTCGGATCACTTTGGTGCCAAGTCGGAGGAAAAGAGATCACTTTGGTGCCAATTTGGCCGGAAATCCGACGTGGCATTTTTTATTTATTTTTTTACGCTGACGTGGCTCGCCGGAGGCTGAGTCAGCGTGTACAGTCAGCATTTTTTATTTTAAATAATTTTTTTTAGCATGTACAGTCAGCATTTTTAATTTTAAATATTTTTTTCCTTTTTTTTTTCTTTTCTTTTCTTTTTTTTCTTTTCTCCCCTCGCCGGCCGGTTGCCGGCCGGCCACCGGCGAAGCCCGGGAAGGGCTGGGCGAGGGCAGCCTTGCCCATGGCCGGCGAGGGGCGGCCGACCCTCGCCGGCGACAGGCGAGGCCGGCCCTCGCCGGCCCAGGCGAGGGTGGCCCTCGCCGGATCTGGCGAGGGCGACCCTCGCCGGCGTCGGGCGAGGGTCGCCCACGCCCGATTCGGGCGAGGGCTACCCTCACCCGCCCAGGCGAGGGGCTCGGCGAGGGCGACCCTCGCCGGCGTCGGGCGAGGCGGCCCTCGCACAGGCGGGCGAGGGTCGCCCGCCCGAGTCGGGCGTGGGCGACCCTCGCGCACGCCGGCGAGGGCTTCCTCGCCCGACGCCGGATCTCGGCGAGGCGACCTCGCCGCCCGTGCGAGGCTTCCTCGCTCGACGCCGGCGAGGGTCGCCCTCGCCGGATCTCGGCAGGGCGACTCGCCGGCGTCGGGCGAGGGTCGCCACGCCCGACTCAGCGAGGGCGACCTCGCCCGCCCAGGCGAGGCTGCCCTCGCCCGACACCGGCGAGGGTTGCCCTCGCTGGATCCGGCGAGGGCGACCCTCGCCGGTGTCGGGCGAGGGCAGCCTCGCCCGGGCGGGCGAGGGTCGCCTCACCGGATCCGGCGAGGCGACCTCGCCGGTTTCGGCGAGGCAGCCTCGCCCGGGCGGGCGAGGTCGCCCTCGCCCGAGTCGGGCGTGGGCGACCTCGCCCGACGCCGGCGAGGGCGACCCTCGCCCGGGCCGGCGAGGGCTTCCTCGCTCGACGCCGGCGAGGGCCGGCCTCGCCTGTCGCCCCGAGGGTCGGCCGCCCTCGCCGGCCATGGGCAAGGCCGCCCTCGCCCAGCCCTTCCGGGCTTCGCCGGTGGCCGGCCGGCCACCGGCAACCGACCGGCGAGGGGAGAAAAGAAAAAAAAAAAAGAAAAAAAAAGAAAAAAATTATTTAAAATTAAAAATGCTGACTGTACACGCTAAAAAAATTATTTAAAATAAAAAATGCTGACTGTACACGCTTACTCAGCCTCTGACGAGCCACGTCGGCGTAAAAAATGAATAAAAAATACCACGTCGGATTTCCGGCCAAATTGGCACCAAAGTGATCTCTTTTCCTCCGACTTGGCACCAAAGTGATCCGAAAAAAAGTTATGGCACCAAAGTGATCGCCGTACACAAGTTATGGCACTTGTGGTGTACTTTTGCCCCATTTGGCTCATCAGTGAAAAATTATAGAGGGAAGAAAATTGAAAGGTGGTCTTGTGGCAGTTTAATTGGAGCATGTGAGTCCTGATTTGTTCATCATAATACCTTTTTTGGGAGCAAGTGATCCAAGCCTGAATACCCACACACTACCCAGACCACAACAATTTAGTATCGGAGCAAACTATGGCAACGGGAGCACTTGTCTCCCTGGCTACATTGATTGTCTGTACTAGGATGCCTGTCTTTCTCCCTGGCGGCCGCGTTGACATTTATTCAATGACCAGCACTTTTTAAAAATGAAATTTTAGGACTTCATCCCCAAACTCGGGGCTAAAGTCATAATACCCAATATTCGTGAAGACTTAGTGTCACAGCCTGACTCCAATAAGAATTAGGGATGACACGCATGTCCTTCCACTCGAAAGACCAAATATTATATATAAACCAACATTGATTATATCATTAGAGCTTTTATAATCTATAAAGAAAAAATATGTACATCTCCAAACTAATAACCACACCTAACAAACTTGTATCGGTCACATACAGCTGATACCCAAAAATCCTACCATCAAAATTTCCTATCAATAACACAAATGCTTTCGATCTACTTGTCACTAGTTGAGGACCTAAAAAACATTTTAAAACGAATGGTATAAGGAACGACAACCCAATGAGTAGTACATATCTCTTCTAAGCAGATCGAGCATCCATTATGAACATATATAAAATAATACCAAAACTCATAATTCAAACCAAAAACATAACATACGTACCAAATCAAATATGAATTATCTCGTTTCAACAAATTTTTATACATATAAAAGAATACTCATTTAATCCGCCATTACAAATCAAACATCAATAGTCAAATCCATTAGTCAATCTCTGTTAAATAACACGTCAATTGTCCAACTCATCAAGCAACCTATTGTTCAATATCCAACCATGGTCACAACATCATGCCTGGTAACAAGGCGATGAAGATTTCCCCATTAGCAAGGTCTCCACCTATTATCAGCAAGTGGATTGGCCCAAAAGGTTATTTTGAAACCAGTATGCATACCCAAAAGCCCTAATCGGGTTCACAGCAATAATAAGCATCAATCAATCATCCTCCAATAATCCACAAAACCAATCTAGAATCCATATCATAAATCGGTTTCATAAACCAAAATAGATAACAGTTCACAACTCAATTCCCTAGCCATAATACATTTCCTAAAACATTTCTCAAACCATTTCAGAATTAATTTCATAAGCTAGATTTGCAAAGCAAATAAAAATCTTTCATAACACATTTCTCGAGTCATTCACAAATAACAAAATAGTAGTAAATGCCTGATATAGATTTTATACAACAAAAATGTTATTTGATAACTCATAATAAATCTAATTTATATCATTTTCGAAATATAAGTTTACAAATTCGAACAAGAGATAAGCGCTACTCACTCGGGAAAACCTAGAACCAAACATCAAAGATTACTCAAGCCGACAAACTCGCAATCATATCAAATAAGTGAAAAAAATATCAAAATCAAGTAAAACATTACCTGAACTACAAATCGCCTAAAATAAGGTTACGAATTAACAAAAACGCTCACCCAAAGCAAATGTTCATTTTATACGATATGCACAACTCGCAGGTCGAAGCTTCAATAATTCACTCCTACTAAATCGTAACTCCAAATCGATTTCCGTCAAATCTCACAACTCCACAGCACCCTAAACTATCATTTTCATATAATTCCACAGCTTAACAACTCCTAATCGAACCCCGCAATTCAAAATTCACATAACTCCAAATTTATGGCTCAAATCCTAAAATTACTCTGATTAGATGAACAAAGGGTTAGAATCCTTAGTAGGTGCTGTGAACGAAGTTAATCCGGCTTGGTAAGGTTTTCGAAGCATATGTGCAAGAAACTATGTATCTTTTTTTTCTCCTTTTCTTCTTCCTTCCTTTTCCTTTTCTCCTTCCTTTCCCATTTTTGTTCACGGCTTTCCTTTTTCTTTATAATATTGAGCATCCACTTTTCTTTTGACAAGTCAATTTTTTTTTGCTGCCTACTAATTTTGACCAAGTAAAAAGCCATTATTACATTTTACCTTTCTTAAAAGAAATATTGCCCTCGAAATTTGAACTTAACTCAACTTTCAAACAAATGGTGGTATTTGCACCTTACCTCCTCCTAGAGCTCCCAAATGGTCTCTCTCTCAGTGTCGTTTTGTCATTGAATCTTCATGTATGGAATGGTTCGGCATCGTAACATTTGTTCCTTCCTATCAACGACGCGAATAGGTTGCTCCTCGTAAGTTCAATTCTCTATTAACCTCAGTGGTATAAAATCTAGCATATGCCATCCTTAGTAGGGAAAATCCATTGAACAACTGCTTCAACATTTTTCATGTGGGCCGAAATGCCATCTTTCGAGATTACATGCCCAAGAATTCTATATGATCAAGCTAGAAGTCGTATTTACTAAATTTAGCAAACAACTTCTTTTCACACAAAGTTTGCAGAACAACCCTCAAGTGCTGCTCATGTTCCTCCAAACTCTTCAAATACACCAAAATGTCATCAATGAACACTATAATAAATCTTTTTAGATACTCTTTAAATATTTTATTCATTAAATCCATGAAAGTGGTAGGTTCGTTCTTTAATCCAAAAGGTATGACAAGAAATTCATAATGGTCATACCTTATTCTGAAAGGAGTTTTAGGTACATCATTTGTTTTTATCTTCAACTGATGATACCTAGAGCGAAAGTCAATTTTGAAAAATACCTGAGCTCCCTAAATTTGATCAAATAGATCATCAAAGGATATTTCTTTTTTATCATCACCTAGTTATGTTCTCGGTAATCTATACAAGACCTCATACAATTGTCTTTCTTTTTCACAAATAGGACCAGAGTTCCCCAAGAAGATACACTGGGTATGATGAAACCTTTATCCAAAAGCTCTTATAGTTGTGTTTTCAATTCTTTTGGTTCTGCAAGTGCCATATGAGATTGGTGCTATACCGGGGATCAAGTCAATGTAGAATTCAATCTCTCTATCAACAAGCAAACCTAGTAAATCCTCAGGATACACAACTAGAAACTATTTGACAACAGGAGAATTTTTCAGCTTTATTATATCATCTCATGTGTCTTTTACACAAACAAAATAACCACAACAACCTCTTTTCAAAAGTTTCCTCGCTTGCAAGGCTAAGATCAACCTTGGAAAAATGCTTATATGACTTCCCAAAAAGAGATTTAGAGTTTATTTGGAAGTCAAAAGAAACCTTTCTCTAAAAATAATCAATGATAACATGATATGTAGATAACCAATCAATCCCTATAATAACATCAAAGTATTATTTAACTCCATCAGATCTACAGGCAATTCAACATTATCAACCTAGAGCGCACATTTCTTGAACACACGGTCATCAAGCAAGCAATCATCATTAGAAGTATCAACACGCAATTCACATTCAAGAGGCTCAAGAAACCCATCAAGCTTCTTTGCAAATTCGGTGGAAATAAAGGAATACATAGCACTCGGATCAAACAACGCATAAGCATATTGCGAGGCAATAAAAATATTACTTGCAACCACTATGTTAGATGCCCCTGCATCCTCTTCCATCGTAGCAAAAACTTCTCTAATCATGTTATGTCTTTGCCGGTTCTCCTGGGGTCTACCAACTAAAGGAGCATTCCTCCTTATGGAACTACATGTTAGGTGTCCCGGTTGCCCTTATAGATAGCATGATCTACTATCAAATGGAGTATCCCTTTATGTAGAATAATCCCGCCGCAAGGGTCTTACTTTCCCACATAATAAGCACACTCCAATTTTCCAATATCACTCACCGCCTTGATACTTTCCACGTGTATTACAAGGGCCTTGAGTATTTTGGGTTTTCCCTTGTTAGTTACTACATCTTCGCTTACTGCTTCCACTTGCACGGATTTTTTTATTAAAAGTCAGTGAACTTTGGCCTCTTTACCCAATGAGCACCTTGTGTGTCACCCTCCAAATTGTCATGTTCTACCCTGATCATTCGTTCCATGATACCTTTGTACGTTGTCGGTACACTAGGTGCGAGTTTAGAACAGATATTAGGTCGAAACCCTCTCTGGAAATGTTTTTTTGGTAAGGATCTCTGGAAATGTTCGGCTCTCTCTTTCTCATTAATAAGATCTTTGCAAATCTACTTAACTGATTGTAGCGGCCCGTGTACTCCACAACCGTAGAGTTGGCCTGAGATAAATGCATAAAGTCAATGCTCATCTTCATTTGGAATGACTCGGGAAAAATTGATCGTCGAAGGCCTCTATGAAATCTTTTCAAAAAACAATTGTACCTTTGTCTCCAAAGGTTGGTCTAGTCCCTTCTCACCAATATTCAGCTTTGCCTTCCAAATATTGGGTGGCAAAGTTGATATTTCGATTATTAGGAGCTCTTTCAACTCTGAAGATCTTCTCTATTTTTCTAATTCAACGCTCAGCCAAGAGAGGATCTGATTTCCCATCATACGTGGGTGGGTTCGCTTATCTAAACCGCACAAATGTACATTCTCTATCATTTTCGGACTCAACGGCTCCACTTCCACCTAATTCTTTCATTTGATGATGAAATCCAGCACTACTTGAGAAGCTCTAGGTAAATTGGCTTGGGTGATAGATTGACGGGATTTGTAATTCGCATCCTATGAGTCAAGACTCCTATCATACCGATCCTCTCGTCTCTTTTTTGCATTCGCGCCTCGAGAACCTTGAGGCATATCTCTAGTGTCGGAGGCAATAACTCGCTTGCCTTCATTATTTTTACGAAGCGTGGCAAGCGTCTCTGAGTCAAAATGCATGATTTCTTGGACCCAAAATGTGTTGGGTTCCTCAAGTGCTAAAAACGCAGCGGAATTTATAAACCGAAACCCTAGATAGGATCCATGCGTATATTGAAATCTAAACAGAAGCTCGACACGTACCTTTTGCAGATCAAAGGTAAATTGACAATCGATTGTGTCTGAATTAGCGTCCCAAGTGTTGCGCCTCTACCGGTATCCACACACACGAACGGAAGTCTCCAACGATCCAAGTACTAGCTAAAGATCTTAGACTTCTTTTTCCTGATCGCCTTTGATCTTCGAGACTCTCTCAAAGATTTCTGAACAGAGAACGATTCTCTTCATATTTTCTTAGGGTTTTTTTTTTTTGTCACCCACACGCTATATATATATATAGCCTCATTATTTACGCGAACTAAAAGAAGTGGGGCTGGGCGATTTGGGCCCGCCAAAATATCCACTTTCAATCGTACGTTTAATCGTTATCTCATAACGTGCACGACCGCGTAGATAAGTTGAAAAGGAGAATAAATTAAAATCTACTTCTTATTTTAAGTAGATCTCGGCGCACAGAAAATATTAACTCAGTTCGCTATTGTGTGTGACCTTGTAGGTTCACTAAACATTAGCAATATGCTCAAAACCCTTTTTGGCCCACAAGTCATAAGCGGTCTCTAGCAAAACATTATGACTACCTAAGTATAGTGAAGGTCGGTTTTCCGACACAGCCTAATCCACAACTAATATTAGAGTATCAATCTTGATTGATTCCTAGGGCAGACCACTAACAAAATGAAATATAACCTTAGCACCTAAAAGTATAACAAGTTAAAATCTCTCACAATGTACCATAAAATTTACATCCAAACTAATCATAACCTAAGCTTTGATATCAACAAATGTCACACCCTAACTTGTTGGGGTGTGACACTTAGGCAAGTCGGTATACAAGGACGTAGAACCAGGTACCATGTTCTTCGCACATTGCAATGTATGAAACGAGTACGACATGGCAAATGCCATTAAAGTTGCGGTTGACGAGCATGGATAGCTTGATATATTGGTGAACAATGCTGAGGTCGGTGATGAAGCCAAAGCCAGCATATGGGACAATAAGAAGGCCGATTTCGAAAGAGTGGTTAGTGTGACCTCAGGGGTGTTTTCTTAGGGACCAAGCATGCATATCGAGCCACAATTCTATCACGAAGAGGAAGCATCATCAGTCGTGGAAGGTCAGCTCTAGCGCGGACGTGGATGCATCCCATGCATACACCAGCTCCAAGCACGCTACAGCGGGGCTCACAAGTTATGTGACCGTGGAGCTCGGACAACATGGGATTTGTGTGAATTGTATGTCACCTGATTTCATTCCAACACCATTCTCAAGGGACTTCTTCAAAATTGATGGGAATGGAAGATTCCGGATGTATTCAAACCCCTGGATGGGGTAGCCCTTCAAATAGAGGATAATAGCTCTCCGCTCTGTAGCTGTGGATCTCGATTTCTTTGCAGCAAATAACATTCACAGTTAAGTCACTCTGTGACATGTCATTACCACGAAGCTACACTAAATCTTGACTAACAAAGAGGAACGAACACATAACAATTGAACACAGCATTCAAACATTTATTCTGTCATCTTAATGCACCTGTTATCCAGAAAATGATAAGTAGACATTTAACTGCACAATCGAAGTGATCTCTTCAATTCATTGGAATTTTCGATTTGACCAATACTTAATCTGCTATATTCAACTCTAATACTGAAGAAGATAAATTTCAAGGGGAATATCCACAAAACCGGCAGTTTTTCCACTGTGAGTAAGAACAAAACCTCATTATAAAGAAGAGATCATGGCAGACTCAGCTTCCACAATTTCGCAGTTCTTCAGGATGTCAATCAGCTTGACAAGCCTTTTGTTACTGCCTTTCTTCTTTTTGTCTTCAATGTTCCTTCAGCTATCTTCTAGACTTTCTCTGTCTGCCAGACGAAATGATCTGAGTGCCATCTTGTCTAGGCATATTCCCAAACTTCAGGGGTACGATCTGCTGAATATATGATCTTCCAGGAAAGTGCCTTTTATCTTTTGGAAGCACATGCAGCTGAGGCAACCAAAATGCTACATATTCTCCTTCAGGATCATAAGTTTTTGCCTGAGTAATATTTGAAGTTCTATTGAGTCAGAGATTTAGAATATAACTTCAGGTGAAAGAAGCTACATTTACTTATACAGTGCCCCAACAATGCTAGGGCTCTTACAAGATTGCTTCCAAGTAGCCTACAATGAGCCACCTCTTGCGAGAAATAAATTAACCTCTCCAATCATCACATCCACCATTTAAGCCAAGCGGATATCACTGTTTAATAGTTACAAAGGCTTACTAACTTGTGGACTTAAAACTGAGAGACTAACTATCTACATTCTCTGTAAGCACATTTCTTCCTTCAAGAAAAGCAAACATTTGAAAGAAAAGCATACTTACTTGTTTAGGGATGCTGAAATAACGATCCTCCCTAGGGTCATTTCCAACTCCTGTGCACGAAAAAAAAAAACACTCAATAAAATGTTAACTCCAAATCTAGAGAGGTATTATGTCACAAGTAGGAGTTCTATGCCTGTGCACCAGAAAATTTAAATCTTTCTATGAATGATGATGATAAAACAAGCTAAACACGGACTAATTATTAACAAAAGGAAGAAAGTTCATTGAGTCAATCAATTTCAAGTGTATAATTCATCAGCATTTTCAAAGAAAAAGTTACCCTCCCTCATAATGCACCAATCTAACCTTTCTTGTGGAAGGTGATTGTACATGAGACTAGCTTATAAGAATTGTAAAGTGCAGGAATTAGTCTCCTGACAATGGTTGGCTCGTTAACTCGTACGTAACAATTTTAGGCCTCCTGTACAATTCTAGGAAAATGATAATTTCAAGCACAAAGTATGATCATTGATGAGATCTGAAGCCGAAAAAGAGAATGTGGATCGTGAGCAGCTATATATTTCTATTTATCAAAGATTAGTCTTCCCTACATACTTTGCTCATTTTCGGAATGCTCTTAAGAAAGGTCCTAAGAAATATGCAGTACATTTTTCTGTTAGATCGGAACCGGTAGTTTATAATTGAAATCAAAAAAAGAAATACCGTGTCTTCATCCTATTTCTGTAATATGAGGTAAACTATATATTTGTCAAGCAATATCCTCCCAGGAGGTTTTTATCGCAGAGGCTAAAACGTGAGTAAAATTATGCGTCCTTTAGCTTCATAAAATGCTGTACAAGTCATATATCATCACTAAGCTATGGGAAATCAAAATCTTTTCCATTTCCCCTCTAAATGTTATATGCAATGTAAGATAAAGAACTTTCAGAAGAAAGACTGACGAACATGCTAGTGTAATCCCATGATAGAGTTGGAAACCATGCAAAAAGCATAAATGATGTTCTGAACTGGAAGCATAAAAATAAGTATCACCTGCACCATAAGTCCAATTTCCATAATTAGAGCAAGGATCATAATCAAGAAGACAGGTCTCAAACCATTCAGCTCCCATACGCCAGTCAAGACCCATATCACGAACAAGAAAAGAACATACAATCTGTTGAATAAACATCACATCCATGAGGTAAAAAACTAATTTTATTACAGACTAGATATCCAGAGAAGGCAATTTATTTCACATAGGAAGGCGAAAAGCTTTCCATTCATTTTTATTCTGAAAGTTCTGTGTACACTAGATTTTACATAAACATGCAGGCAACATATGACTGACACTGACCTGTCTTCCTCTGTTTGACATAAATCCAGTGGTTGATAGTTCCTTCATATTTGCATCTATTAGAGGATACCTAAGGAGTTAACAAGCTACATAAGGATTGAGACTGCTGAAGAGATTGGACAGAGAAATTAATAGAAGATTAAGCTACTTCAGCAAAACCAAAGTCTTTTGGAACTGAATGAACTACGGACATTCATTTCCCAGGGCTTAACAGATGCCACTAAAAATTCTATTTTCTCCATGTGAGACTACATTGGACGAGAGCAGAATAACAGAAATATGCTATACCCTGTACGGCCATCTTTCCAGCAGTCAAACCGCTTCTTGTCTTGGCTCCAGTTGCTCTTCACTTTCCTCGGACCACCTTAAAAGATCGAAATAGGTGATAGAATATTCCACAAGCATATCTCTAGAGAAACAGTAAACAAAACACATCCACTGAAACAAAATATGTGCTGCTATACTACTAACACAAGGTAGTGAAGCAGTTCTTTCCAATATGACACAATGTCGCCGTTTAAGTTATATTATGTTTTGGAAAGACCACGTCTTAGCTCTTATTGTATAACCATAACACAACTTATTACATCTTAATACCAAATTTGACTATGCTTTGTATGGTTGTCCTATCAAAAGTTCCTATTTCCTAAAGATAAAAGTATGATATCCATCTGATGGAATGTTCAGTGTTAATTGATGAACAAGATCAAGTGCTAACTGCATCGAAGCCCTTACCCAGATGGAAAATGGAATTCCCATATTTGATTGAAAGAAACCTGAAATAATCCCTCCAAATCAATTCAAACAAGACCCTGAAAGCATGGAAGTGATTGGGTAAGCAAAGGAAGGTAAGACCATGCTTGAGAGTTGAATTTTGCTCTTCTCAGTGGAAAGCTTTTTGCCATGAGACAGAACTTCTGAGTGCCTAGCCAGACTTCCATGCCAAAGATTCATAATTTGATGAACTTTGAAGCTAAAATGGTGACTAACCAGCCTAAGGCGGAAAAAGTTGGATGTTTTCAACAGAATAACATGGATCAAACAGAGACAGGTCAATACATAGTTGGTGTTATGTTTGCCAAATATGTGAAAAGGCGGACACATTGCATTTGAGCATCAATACGCTCATCAGTATATGTGCCCGTGCAGCTTGCGCAAAAAAGCAGACAGATGCATGAGAGAGAGAGAGAGAGACCAATATGTTGAATCATTTGCCACCCTTTCCTTTTCATATCTTTTCACCTACAAGTCCGAAAGATAAATAGCTCTCATCAGAATCATCCTTCAATTTACTATGCATACAATAGAGAAGAAAGTCACAATTCTAGCTACCTCTTCACATATAAGGCGGGGAGAAAGGCATCCTGAAGCAAGCCATGGAGAAAGTTTAGTCGAGTAATCAGCCCCAACCATCACATTCCGAGTCTTTTTGTAAGTACTTAACAAATCCTACATGGGAAGCAAGAAAGCAACATTTCAATATATGACAGCTACTTTTTTTTTTTTTGGTTGGGTTGTGACAGCTACTTCAATGATGACGGAAAATTTCATTTCTTTAGACAGATCTACTCAGAATCAAGAAAGGTAAGACCAATAGAGTAATCTAATCTAAGTAATATCTTACCTTTTTCCAGAAGTACTCATGTACTCTGCTCAATGCTGCATTTTCACCCCCGGAAAACTTCATCCCTAGTTGGACCTGCATAAAAAGGAAAAGTGGGTTTAGCATAGCTGAATCACTAAAGCTGTATTACTGTATTCAAACTATATGCACAGTTGACATAAAAAAATGTATATGCCAACAAAGTTCACGAAAGATTGAACTGATAACATGCCTGATCTACGGAAATCCCAAGCTGCTTGAGCGTAGGAACACAGCCCCAATCATTAGTAGAAGGTGCTGGCCCTAGATATTTCGGAACCTTTATGCAATCTCGGATCCTGCATTTAGATTCGACAGACTGCAATTATCGATTTCATTAGCGAGCATTTCTCTTAAAGTCTCCAGCGTAGGAATTGAAGAGAGGATACATGCCTTACGGAATTGAGTATACACATCAGGTAAATGAGCAGTACTAAACGGAAGGTCATCAATGTGGTACATAGTACTACCCCATATAAGATGTAGCTGCGGGCCCTTCTTGGAGCTGATGCCAGAGGCGTGCTGTGGTTTGGCATCAATCGAAGGATCTGCGCCGCTGAGCTCGTTTGATGTAGATACTGACGATAATGCATCTAGCTGCAGACCTTCGCGAACCCGTCTTTCAACACCCAGCTCCTCACTGCAAGTTTCTTTCTGGGCAAAAACCTGGCAAGCACAACAAACATGATGTCATTCTTTTTTAGGCGGATCAGAACTTATCGGGTACCTGTATAAACGCTAATGAGTGGGGGAAGTACTTAACCGTATGTGCTCCGAATGTTTTGGCAATGGATGGAAGAATCTCTTCAGGCTTCCCTCGGTGGATAAGCAAGTCAAGACCCCGGTTCACCAAATTCCTTTTCAGGTCCTCCAAACACTCAATTAGAAACTGTGCTCTTAAAGCTGCCAAACACAGAAGTAGCACAATGATGATCTTTTACCAATCAGAATCACTTTGTCATCACTTATTGCTCCACGGAAGCAACAATAGCAAAAGAGTAAGCATGCATTGCTCCACGGAAGCAACAATAGCAAAAGAGTAAGCATGCATATTCAATTTGGTAAAAATGCCGAGGGTGATCAATGACGGAGTCAATGAAGGGAATTAGAAGAAACATAAAAGACGACGATTTTTACCGCCAGTTTTGGGGAAGCCAAAGTAATGGGTGGTGGCGAAGTGGCGGGGATCAAGGCAATAAACGGGCAAGACGAGCTCAGAAGAACACCAGGCCCGGAACAAAACCTCGTTGTCCAACACCCTCAGGTCGTTCCGGAACCACACGATCACCGTTCCTCGGCCCTTCCTCTTCGCGTCGTTACAGAGGGAGTACCTGTCCATTGTCTTCTCCGCAATCTGCCCCATTTCGTTGGCGTTCAGCGCAGGGACGTGGAAAAGTTTCACCGACGCGTGCATAGAATCGTTGTGCTCAGAGGCAGAGGAAGATGCCATTGCTATTGGGGAACGAAGGGAAAGCTTGGATCTTGATGTGTTAAGGAGGTGTGCAAGTCTGAGAGTCGGAGGGAGTGGTGAGCATGGCGATCGAAACAGGGCCATGACGTTTCCTCTTTCGCTCCACGTGCCCCCACTCCCCACCCATCAATAGCTCAGAGACAGAGAGAGATACGGACATTGACACGTAGGCACGCATCTTTGTCGTGACGTGGTCTCTTTTTATCCACTAATGTTAAGGAAAAATTTCATTTTGGTACCCAAAATGGAGCCTTTTTCTCAATTTGGTACTCAAAGTGGATATAGTCTCAAATTGGTATCTAAAGTGCCCGTTCAGTCTCAATTTAGTACCTGAGTTCGTCGGCCGGTCAAATGCTCATCGGCCGGCAAGAAATTTACTGTTCCAGCTACCGAAACAGTATTTTGTTTACTTTTTTATTTTTTTTCCTTTTTCTGTTTTTTTTCTTTTCCTTTTCCTTTTCTTTTTTTTTCCTTCTTCCCTCCGCCGGCCATAGCCATGGCCGGCGGAGGTCGCCGGCGTCGGGCGAGGGCGGCCCTCGCCTGCGTCGGGCGAGGGCCACCCTCGCCAGCCCAGGTGAGGGCCGCCCTTGCCTTCGTCGGGCGAGGCCGACCCAGGCGAGGTGGCCCTCGCCCGACCCGAGCGAGGGCGACCCTCGCCACCCGCGAGGGCGACGCCGGCGACCTCCGCCGGCCATGGGCGTGGCCAGGGAGGGAAGAAGGAAAAAAAAGGAAAAGGAAAAGAAAAAAAAGAAAAAAGGAAAAAATAAAAAAAATAAAAAAGTAAAAAAAATACTGTTTCGGTAGCCGGAACAGTAAATTTCTTGCCGGCCGGTGAGCATTTGACCGGCCGGCGAACTCAGGTACTAAATTAAGACTGAACGGGCACTTTAGGTACCAAATTGAGACTGAATGGGCACTTTGAGTATCAATTTGGGACTATGTCCACTTTGGGTATCAAATTAAAAAAAAAGGCCCCACTTTGAGTACCAAAATGAAATTTTCCCCTAATGTTAACGGTTCGTGGTCGAGCGAGTGGAGGTCGTTACCCGTTGGGCGAAAAGAACCAACTGTTTTTCCTAGGGTGAACCGGACACAAAATGCAATAAAAACCCAAAGATTAATTAATGTGAACTGGCCCTTTATTAAAAGAAGATGCTATATTTTTATTTAAGATTGGACTGCCTCTTGCACACGAAAAGGAACCACGTCGAGCCATGTTGTCGGGCACTTCGAGCCCAACTATTTCCCGCGAACCGCTACGGAAACCTATTTAAAATTGGCCCAATTCCAAAAAAAATCCTCAACTTTACACTTTGTCCCAAATATATCCTGAACTTTTTTTTGTCTCAAGAAAAACCACAAGCTTTTATCTAAGTCCCAAATCTGCCCTCTTGTTATAAATCCGTCCAATTAACATCAGAAAAAAAAAACAAAAAAACAAAGAACGGGCAGCTGCGGCGATGGCCAAGCCTTCGCCGGTGGCCGCCGCCACAGCCGCCGGGAAGGAGTGGCGGCCTCGCCTAGGCCTTCCGGTGCCGGCGACCTCGCCGGGCCCGGGCGAGTCGCCGGCGAGGGCGTGCGCCCCGACTCGGGGCGAGGTCGCGCCCTCCCCCAAATCGGGGGCGCACGCCTCGCCGAAGACTCGCCACCCGGGCCGGGCGAGGGTCGCCGCCTTCGAGAAGGCCCAGGTGAGGCCGGCGAGGGTCGCCGCCCCCGGGCGAGCCGCCGGTGGGGCGTGCAGCCCGATTTGGGGCAAGGGTTGCGCCCTCCCAGACATGGGGTCGCACGCCCTCGCCGGCGACTCGCCCGAGGGTAGGCGAGGGTCACCGGCCTTCGAGAAGGCCCAAGCCGAGGGCGTGCGTGCCCCAATGCGGGGCGAGGGTCGCGCCCTCCCCAGATCGGGGGGCGCACGCCCTCGCCGGCGACTCGCTCGGGGCGGCGACCCTCGCCGGCCCCTCGCCTCGGGGCCTCGAAGGCCGGCGACCCTACGCCGGCCCCGGGCGAAATCGCCGGGCGCAGGCGCGTGCGACCCCGATCTCGGGGAGGGCGCGACCTCGCCCCGTGATCGGGCCGCACGCCCTCACCGGCGACTCGCCCGAGGCCGGCGAGGGTCGTCGGCCTTCGGGAAGACCCAGGCGAGGGCCGCCGCTCCTTCCCGGTGGCTGTGGCGAAGGCTTGGCCACCGCTGCAGCTGCCCGTTCTCTGTTTTTTTTTTTTCTATGATGTTAATTGGACGGATTTATAACGGGAGGGCAGATTTGGGACTTAGATAAAAATTTGTGATTTTTCTTGAGACAAAAAAAAGTTCAAGATATATTTGGGATAAAATGTAAAGTTGAGGGTTTTTTTTGGAATTGGGCCATTTAAAATTCGAACACAATCAAAAGATTTCCCCGAACATTAACCCATAACAAGTGATTGTGCGAAATAGAAACCAAGGGGATGTTTCGCGATCGAACATAGCTAGTTGTTCCATTATCTTTCACAACATTTTACAAAAGTCTTTTTTTTTTTTTTTGATGACCCAGGGAACCCCCGCACGGCCGACAGCAGGGAGGTAAACCCTGGGGGCGACACGTGCTAGCCACCACACACGTGCACCGGTTAAGTCACCCTACGGCACCCGGGATTCGAACACTCAACCTTTTGCGAGAGGAAGAGTGCGCGCTCCAGCAGCGCTACCCAGGCGGGTGGTAACATTTTACAAAAGTCGACTCGATCAGAATCCAAGTACATTATACATTCGGCTTTGTTAACCAGCAAGTGAGTCGCTGAATCTCTCTCAGAATTTGTCCTTAACATTGGCTGGGAAAGGCGAACAAAATAAGGCACGTAAGGCAGATCTACAGCCCCACGCACTCTGTTAGAACATTTCTTTCTCCGTAAGTATGCTCCTGCTGAAGATGACCGTACACCTAAATCTGTGAGATTGCAGAGGTGCTGGTACGAAACTACAAGAAAGTTGTAGTAAACCATAGACAAGTTCAGCTTTAAGAATGGTGCATTACCTTAAGTCTATGGAAATCGACATAGATGTAAGAAATTAAGGATGCATAGGATGCAAAGAGCATAAAAATTCCACTCCCCACATAAGTAGCAACATCAGATAGAAAGGTGGAATGGCTAGTGATGGTACTTTTGCCCCTTCAGGATTGTCCATGACCTGAAAACGCAAGAAGAAAGCATTAATTGTTTATCTGAGCAACCAACATGGTCGGAGCATGATCAACATCCAGATGACAGCTTGCCTTTATGGTAACATTATAAGTGTGTAGATTGCAGGTGTCATTTACCCAAAAACCATGACTCCACCAACTGTTAGGGCCATAGGCATTAAAATTCTTGAACTATCCTACTATTGCTAAAATGAAAGTAACAATAATTTCTGAATTCTTCAGATCCATGAGCAACAAGTTAAGGCATATGATAGCTCCATATATAAAAAGTAACAGTTAGAGCATACAACACTACGAAAAAGATGAAGTAAATACACCTCAGCATGAATTTTATCATCCATCAGGTCAAATGACAGGTTAATTAGGTGAATTTATCTGGGGACATTTGTTTTTAAATTTTACCACTATCCATTATTGGAAGAGTAATTGAGTAATGTGCGGTAGCCAAATAGCTGCTTTGTCTAATGCCGAACAACTCACTTTATGTTAATCTTTAAATACAGTTTGGTTTTGGTGCTACAACCTTGTGAATATTCCTTTGTCAATGAAATTCAGTAAGGCACCCTATGACAGACATTGATTTGAATTTTAATAGGGACGCTTAATCCTAATGTCCAATAGCATATGGAAACATGAGTTGTTCTTGCAAATAACCTGTAGAGTTGTTCCATCAGCACAACAAGTGCAATTTGGTGATTCAAGACCAGGGAAGATAACTTGATCGATATGTTGGCACGTTCTCTCAATTTTGATCCATGACCATAAGGTCCACCGATGCAAAATGATAGCTTTGAAGCTCCCTAAAATATCAAAAGGAGAGATGAATCCAAGTAAGTTTCACTCATGCCAGAATCAAGCATACAAACATCTCTGTGATGATGATGATAATAATAATATTAATAATATAAAGCGAAAGAAAGAGCCCAGAAAGAATTAGCAAGAAAAATGCAACAGTCCTCCATGGGACTCTCTAATTCATAGCAATGCATGTCATGACATAGAAAACCGAAGGTACACAAGATACATACTACATATGAAGATGATTGATGGAATTTTCTACCATCTGTTCCAATTGGGACTGTATGATGACAGTAATATTCCTATTGAAAACTTGTGGATGCGAACTGGAGCAGCAATTCATACCTTATCCGCAGCACCACCGATCAACTCAGCCATCTCCTCTGACTCAATGTCTGTCCCGTGCTCATCCAACAGCACAACCTGAAAAGGAAAAGTATCACATAAATTCTGCCTTTGACATTCATCATAATATTTTAATTTGATCAATGTTCCACTTGAAAATCACTGATGGACTTTAACCACATAATGACCAATCACGATCAGTTATGTGCAGCCATAAGTAGTTGAATGCAGACATTTCACTACACACGTATCTCGTTGTTCTGACACGCGACAAAAAATCACATACAATCCAAAACAAAATGAGCTGCTGTTCCCTTACAGAACACAGTATTAACGGGGGCTTCAGCCATTCCCACTTTAACAGAAAGATTAGGAACATGAATTAGCTCTGAGTTGAAATGAGAGCAATACCCAATCATCAGGTCTAATAAGATTCATAACTGCCATATCTTCATCGACAATTTGAGCCTCCTTCTCACTGCAAAAGGGCTAACTCTGTCATTGACTTAGCGTGCAGTGAACACCAATTCCAAAAGAAACTTCTTTTCTTCTCCGAGGTCGCGTTAACAGAAAATCAACAGCGATATGCAGGCAAGCAAAACACAACAGCAAAAGGAAAGAGCACGGCATGCGAAACGCGGGAAGTGGGAAAGAGGGTGGAGAGGTAACCACCGTGCATTTCTAGGGTTGGAGCGAACTTGGACATCCTCGACGGCGCAATAAGGCCGGAGCTTGGACGCGTACTCGTCCACTAATAGCTGCACGGCAGGGGATCTCTTCTTGCCCACAGTGAATACTCGTATTGGAAGTGTTCTCTGTTCCATACCAAACGATTCGAATCACTCAGCAATCGCTTCAAACTGCGCCCGCAGAAGCGGTTTGGTGGAACAAAAGCTGAGATAAGAGCAAAAAATTCACAATTCAGAGAGAGAGAGAGAGAGAGATGGGGAGCGAGGGGGAAAGATTACCACAGACTGACCAGTGTATTTACATCTTCCAGTTCCCCCTGAAAGCCAGCCAGACAGGAGTTTCAATGCCGTTTCCAAATGGGGTCTCCTCAAAATGGTCACTTTATGTTCCAAAACGACAGGAACTCACGGAGAGAGAGAGAGAGAGAGAGAGAGAGAGAGAGAGGAACCTGGGGAAGGGATGGAGTTCGTTGCGAAGAGAGAGACGGAAAGCGAGACAGCCATTTCCATATTCTAGGGAGAGACAGAGACAGAGAGTGGCATCATCATAATCGTCAAAGTACAGGAAATGAGCTAACATGACAACATGTTTCTTGAAGGGGGGAAAAGAACTGTCTTTCTTATCTTCGTCTCTGCCTCAGAATCCCCAGTACGCTTGATTGCTTTCTTGCATCGGTTCTTCTCCAAATGGGCCTGGGCCCAAACGGGTCGGGCACGGCCCAGTGGCATCACTGCTGGTGACACACATCCAGCTTACAGGTGTTGTGGGTAGGGGTGATCGGTTCCAGGGTGGGTAGGTCCAGACCTGGAACCCTGAACCTACTGCATTCACAACCGATTCCTGGTTTTGGAACCCGGAACCTATCCCTTTTCCCTAGACCACTGTTTTGGAACCACCCGTTTTTCCTGGTCTACATGGTCTACCCGATAACCGTTTTTTTTTTTTTTTTGTTTTAGAAATTTGGAGCAAAATAAACAATTCACAAGCACCATGTCCAGCAATTGACATGCTCCCCTTGACATGTTCACAAGTGCTCTGTACTTCTCGAAGTAATAAAAATGAAAATGATGAAACTATATTAGCTAATGCATAATCCTGTCCATTTGTTCCAAGCAAAGAAAGTTCACCAAATATTCACCCACAGCGGAAATAAACAGACTTTACCACATTACTTAGTTAATAACTTATAGTATACTTTCTTAGTACCTCTACCATTATCAAAAAAATATCCTACTGCACCCTTGCAGTCAGATTTCCAGCAAAATCTCAGATAGCAAAACATGAAAACTTAAGCGCCAGAACACACCTGCCCAAATGGTACATATGATGGTAAATAAGGCACCCTGCGCCACGCCCTGCTATCCCCACCTTTCTTGCCATTATTTTCCATCATCTTTCCAGACATTGTCATATCCGATGACCCCTTATCTGTGTCAGAGAATGGTTTTAAAGAAATACCATCAGAACCCTCTTGGATCTCAAGAGATTGTGCTTCGATTACTTCATCTTCAGGCACCGCAGAACTCTTAGTAGATGTTTCTAAAGAATCAACATGCTTTCCACTGAACTTGTTGAATTGTCTTCTCATGCCTTCCAAGGGAACAAGTCTTGAAAGTCTCCAGAAGGATTTTTGTACAGGGCCCAATCCTAGAACCAACTGTTCACCGTCGTTTCCTTTCTTTAATTTCTCTCTCGGTCCCTCTCGTTTCATCATTAGATTCTGGGAAGCTTCAGGATCAACTTCAGCAGGTGTCAATGGCACTTGAGAATTATAATGATGAAAATAAGCAGGAGATAAAATACGGGGCACCAAATCTTCCGGAATACAGTAACTCTTGAAGAATTGCTGCCACCCTTTTGTATTGACATAGCTGAAAGGAAGAAAAAACAGGCTCTAAGAAACATTATGAACTACAGTGTTTACCGAATTATCAATCAGAGCACATTCAAAAATTTTGATCATTAATAAAAGCAAGAACAAGGAAAGGTGAAGGAAAAGTGACAACCAATATCAACTTAAATCATGGTAGAAGAACTCTGCAACATACTCTCTTAAGGCGGCATTTCCAACAGGGGGCTGTGAGAATGTTACACATTTGACTGGAACTTTTTCAGTTTCCTTTGATGAAGAGGAAGCAGATATAACCCTCAAAATGGCAAGCGTAGCCAATGCTGCTACCTGAATGTACAGGAGAGGGAAGTAAACCAGATCATTAGTCTCGCAAAGCACATCTAGTTTATTGGTCAAACCCAGAATTCCCGACTTCATATCCAGAAGCTGTAATAAACAGACAAAATTCGGCTCAACAATACAATTCGCACACGAAAAACTCCTTTTTGATCACAACCAGATTCAAAGAAAACTCTTTTTTTTTCCCCTAAGCATCAACCACGCGGATCCGAATCAGAAAACAGGGAACCGCAATCTCCACACACAGAAACCACAAGGCGGGGGAAAACCAAAAAGGAAATCGTTACCGATCGTGGGAGATAGATCCTCGAAGGTGTCGGAGGTGAAGCTCAAGAGGAGCGAGCTCTTCCCGACCCCGGAGTCCTCGATCAAGAGCAGTTTGAACGGGTAATCGAACTCCGGCAAGCAGCCATGACGACGAGCAGCCGCGGCGACGAGCGGCGACGAGCAGCCGCGGCGATGAGCGGCGAGCAGTCGCGGCGACGAGGAAACTGGAAGAAAGGGGACTCGCGAAGAGGAGGGAGCGACTGAGCAGATTGAGAAAGGGGACTTGCACTCTCAATGCTAGGGTTTTTTTACAGTAACTTAAAACCGGTTCTAAAACCGGTCCGGGTGGGTTTTCACTTAGACCCGGGAACCGGACCGGTTCCAACCGGTTCCGAAAAAATAGAACCGGTTCCCGGACCGGTTCAAACAGGAACCGGTTCCCGAACCTGTTTTTCGGGTGGGCCGGTCCGGTTCCCGGGTAAACCCGGTCCGGTTGCACACCCCTAGTTGTGGGTGGACGAAGATGTCATCCTCGTGTGAGAATGAGAGATGGTTTGGGAGCTGAATGTGAAGGGGTTTGGTCTGGTGGGTGAATGTGATGGCATCTTTCAAAAGAAGAAAAAAGTCGTCAGATTTCTCATTCCATGTCGCCATGGCAGTTTTTTCAATCTTGACGCCCAGTGCTGGCTTTTCTGTTTTCACTTCTCTCCCGAATCTTTCATGCCAACTCAAGTAGTAGTATGTTCCCCTGTTGCTTGAAGATGCTCAAGGGACCTTCTGCATATTCTTGGCTTGTACTGCTTAGTCGGTATGCGGCCTAAGCATATTACTGCTCAAACGTATGACATTCTTGTTCCTAATCATTCTGTTAAAAGTGGGAATGACTGAAGCCCCCAGCAGTATTGTGTTCTGTAAGGGAACAGCAGCTCATTTTGTTCTAGATTGTAATGTAATTTTTTTGTCGCGTGTCAGAACAGCGAGATACGTATTTAGTAAGATACCTCGGTAATCTTTGATTCCTCCTAAGTTGCCAACACAACCATATGACAATGCGACAAACTCATTGTTGAAAACTCTACATTCCGAAAAAGTGGGATTGTTTAACTTACTAAACAATTAACCATTACAAGTACTGGAAACTGGTCTCTCAAGTGCCCATTGGTTAGTATTCCGAGATCGTTTATGCATCTATGAAAGCTCCAACATCTTGACATTGAACATTTCAGAGATTGTTTAATTACTTAGGCTCCGCTGTTTCGCAAAAAATGTGATATTTCTACAAAATGTTTCAATAAATCATTTTCTAGGAAAATGACAAAACATTGGTGTTTCCTTCTATTCGAAATTTTTTTTGGAAGCTCGACATGTCGACTATAGGTGTAGTCCTTTATTGACATATGAATAGTTTGAGGACGAAGACCGTACCCTAGTGTTTAATAAGGAAAATCGGATTTTTCTAAATAGGCATACACTATTCAGGTACTAGTGACTTGCACATGAAAAGCCGGAGAAACTTATAGGCTAGCTGATCAAATCAAGCTAATCCTAAGAAACTCGGAGAAATTTCCCAGGTTTTTTCCCCTCCTATTCTGCCCCATTGTTTAAGTTTCTCTGCGTGGCAGATGATTTTGGTGCGTTTGGTCAATCTTCAACCGTAGGCTATCCTTCTCTAAGTTTTCTACCTTAGCTGATGCGTGGCAACCCTTGCCTGCAGCCTTTGATGACTAACATATTTACCATTTGAAGTCAATGAACCATATTCAGAAGGATGTAATAATCTGCAAACTGCATCTTCATTTGCATATTCCATATCTATTGACTTCAAATGGTAGATATGCTAGGCATAAAAGGATACACTTCTGCAGTTGTTTCTTACTCCTTGGCAAATATTGACATACGCAACTTGATTCCTTGATGTCTTAACAGCATTTTTGCATAAAAGATTTTTCTATTAAGTCATAATGTAACTGGATCCTTAGCAATTGTGGGCATCTGGCACCAAGTTGCTCCCTTTGGGTTACGCTTTGATGTAAGTCTTCATTCACTATTCACCATATGAGCTGCTGAAGATAGGATAAGCACAAGACCTCAACAACAACACAACAAAAAAGAGCCGGAGATGAGATCATGTTACCTTTTAGACCATAACAACAATAAGGAGAACAGAATTCTGCATACAGCCTTGTGACGTTTGTAGAAAGACAGTAAGTAAAGTGCATCCATATCTTTCTGGCCAAACAAAAAGTTTATCTCTATCTTACTGGCCAAAGAAAAAGTGCATCAATATCTTTCAAATATTTTCACCAATTTAACTTGCCAATAACTTATGCGTGCGGTGCTTATGAATACAACATCGTATCATATGTTGCCTCGTGTTTCCTTTTACATGGTCCCCAAGAGATTTCATCACAGCATGCAGGATTATAATGGAGACACCTGCTTTGAATTCTTCAATTGTTATCGGTGCCCTGGTGCTTTGATCAGATTTCGTAGGTCATTGACTGTATGAGACGTATTGACCTTGTCCTGATCAGAGGCGCTGCCTTTTGCGAATCAAACTAAGTTGATCAAAGCTTTTATCAGGCAAATCTGCAATATGCATAATTTATTGTGCACCGGTGTGATGCATTTCAGTTCAGTCAATCAATCATCTCAGCCACTTGATGGAGATTAGATTGATCTGCAACAAATGCAAGCCCTTGATCTTGCAAACTGGACATTTTGCCTTAGCCTTTAATGCTCTTACCTAATAACACTTACCTACAATTCTGCCATGTGCAACCCATATCTCAGCAAAAGGAAAGTCCAACCTACAATTCATACATGTACGTTCGGGGGACCTTTTCCTATAGAGGTTGATGAACGTGCAACAAAGCAATACAATAATGTCCAACGGAGTAAACGTCCAGCCAATAAATTGAAGTTGATATGCGCGGACACGCTTAAACGTTTGAATTGGAGGAATTGAGGGCCTATAAATACCCATTCCTTATCGAAGAAAACCCAACCGACAACTTTAGAAATTCTCATCGTCTCCTCAATCTAAAAAAATCAGCTTTATCCTTTAAAAGCATTTCGTGTCTCTCTCTCTCTCCCCTCTGTGCTTCTCTTGATTAGATAGCCTCACTTGGTGTAATGGAAAAAACGAGCGTACCTCTTCAACCTCCAACTTATGGAAACCTTATCACGATTCTCAGCATTGATGGTGGAGGGATAAGAGGGATTGTTCCCGCTACCATTCTAAGTTTCCTAGAGTCTGAACTTCAGGTATTGAACTAATGCTAATGCTGTATGCACAGTCGGTATCTATTTTGCATGTAATTCTAATTTTCCGATATACACCTGAATCAATTTTGTAGAAGCTGGATGGTAAAGATGCAAGACTTGCGGATTATTTCGACGTGGTAGCAGGAACAAGCACAGGAGGTCTTCTAACTGCCATGTTGACCAGCCCTAATGAAAAGAATCGACCCATGTTCTCTGCCAAAGACATCAAGGACTTCTACCTTCAAAATGGTCCTAAAATCTTCCCTCAGGACAGGTCTAAATTCAGTTTCTTTTCTTTTCCTCATAATCATGTCAGAAGCTTCCTGTTTATGATTAATATTTCTTCATGGAGTCGAGATTCTAACTTGTCCTTTCAATGCTTAATCGAACGTATTACAGTTCTCCATTTGCTCCTGCTACAAAGATGATGAAGACTCTCACAGGACCAAAGTATGATGGAAAATACCTTCATGACCTTGTAAGGGAAAAACTAGGGGACACGAGGTTGCACCAGACGTTAACCAATGTTGTGATCCCAACTTTTGACATCAAGCGTCTCCGTCCAACCATCATTTCTACCTACCAGGTGTGCATCCTGGCCCTGCAACATAGCGCACACCCTCACCAATTAAATATACTCAATCGCCTTTCCGTATGTTCAACTTTGTTGGTATCATCTAACAAATGCCAGTCTTGCATCGATTGTTTTGGACAGGTGAAGAACAAACCATCCATAGATGCGTTGCTCTCTGATATATGCATCGCAACTTCAGCTGCACCGACTTATCTCCCTGCCTATTATTTCAAAACTGAAGATCACTCAGGAGCAGTGAGAGAGTTCAATCTTATAGATGGTGGGGTGGCTGCAAATAATCCGGTCAGTGCAAAAAAGAAAGAAGTAACTCCTTTATGACGATAAATTATTTAGTGCAGGCAGCAACTTGCATGTTAATATATGAGACGGCGGTGACGGAAACTTATTGTTAATTACAATGAATGATATGCAGACTTTAGTTGCTATAAGTGAAGTGACGAAAGTGATAAGCAAGGGTAGCCCAGACTTCTTTCCTATAAAGCCGATGGACTACGGTCGTTTTCTGGTGATATCTTTGGGAACCGGTTCGCAAAAATCCGAAGAGAGGTACAATGCACATGAAGCAGCAAAGTGGGGGATCATCGGTTGGTTAACCAGCGGAGGGTCCACCCCTCTAGTTGACGTCTTCACCCAAGCAAGTGCAGATATGGTTGATCTCCATCTCTCTGTTGTCTTCCAAGCTCTTCATTCGGCAAAGAGCTATCTCCGCATCCAGGTATATATCAATACCAGTATGCATAGCGCATATGTACGCAAGAACACAGACGTGTGCGTATACTTACCCACTTATTGTTCTTTTGTCTATTCATATATGATGTTGATATAAAATTCGGTGATTTGTGAAGGATGATATGTTGAGCGGACTAGTATCTTCGGTGGACATAGCCACAAAGAACAACATGAATGATCTGCTCAAAGTAGGGGAAAGACTACTGAAGAAGCCGGTGTCTAGGGTTAATCTTGACACCGGAATCTTTGAGGCGCTGAATCAAGAGACTAATGAAGAAGCTCTCAAAAGGTTCGCGAAGCTACTTTCCGAAGAGAAGAGGCTGCGCCTTGCTCGGTCTCCCCAGTGACACGCTCACTTCCCTAGCCTTCCCACTTCATCAACTGCATGATCTTGATGTCTTGGGCTTTCTAAGTTCTACTAGCACCAAGCTAATACAACAACATAAACCAGTCATAGTTAAGTAACAATCGATCAGACGCCATTATTCTTCATTATTCTTTGTGTACCTAGTACTATCCATGACACTTTGTGTTTGTGCATCCAACCCCTTATGTATCTGTTCAATTGGCAATACGACATTCACTCTTTCTGTAGTTTCCTATTTGTTGGAGGGGAACAAACTTATCACTCGTTTTCGACGAGGCTGGTCTGAACAATGACCGGAAAGATGTCAAAAACGAGTGATAAGTTTGATAAGTCAATTAAGGAAACTTTAGACAAACACCCAAGTAAAATATAATTTCTCTACAAAGTACTGCCGTCGCTTAAAAAAATGAACAAATGAAGAATATATTCATCGTCCCCGAAAATGTTTACGCATAGATTGTCGACGATAATGAAAACATTTTTCATTTAATAATTATTTCAAGCGGTTATTTTTAGAAAAATATTTTCCAAACCATTTATTTTCCCCGAAAACAAACGGAGCCTAAGAGTGTGTTTATTTCACTAAAAATTTAATGATAAAGAAAAATATTTTTCATGAAATCATCTTCAAGGAAAATATTTAATTTTCATTTGTTTGGTAGCTAAGGGAAAGTAATTTCCTTCTTGCCATAAGGAGAAGTCGTTTTCCCCCAATCTAAGTTTATTATTTTCAGTCCATGGAAAACGTTTCACATAGATCAATTAGTTTTTCGTTATCCAAACGCCGAAAAGTCGAAAAAAAAAACTTCTCGAAAACAGTTTTTCTTTAAATAAACGGATCCTTAGTTGTAAAAGAATCTCTCCTGTTGGACCTCCCGACACTCGGTTTGCCCCAAACCCTACATTTACAATGTCATCGTCTTATGTTAGGACAATGACAAGGGCACTCGGTGCTGAAAACAATTTCCAACGCCTGCACTTTTCATGACATAGGAATGATAACTGACATGTTTCGAAATTATATCGTGACGAGCAGTTCATCTCTACTAGTCAACACTGATTGAATCGGGATGTGTCTACGGTCTCTTCATGAGTAGTTGAGAGTGTCCCTGAAATGCATACGATATTCCTTCAGCAAGTAGGAAGGATAGCGAGAACCTCTCACTTGTTAAATCTTTTTGGTTAAATTAAAATATCCTTAAAAGAAGTTAATAGAATGTATTATTCTAGCCGAACGATCTCTGTCGATTTCATATGTGTACTATCGATAGCTTGGGTCCTGACATCGAGAGAGGCCCCTCCATTGTAGAGCCATTCCATCTAAATGATGGGATGGACCCGCTGTGTATCGGTTCCCGATTCCACTCAAAATACAAATGAGAAAAATCAATTTTATCTCGACCTAGTAGTATATCCGTTTTGGTATCGCGCAATAAATAATCAATTTTATCTATAAACCCTTTGTTTTAGTGTCGCACGATGAGGGTACTAACTCATCCAAAAACACATATATCTATTACTGTTAATGGTCATTTTATTCAGGAATTATGTCCACGTTGGTTTCTTTAATCATCACCTGAATGTTATCTACTACTGAGAACACTATAAGGCTGCGCATGGCAACCATTCTGTGTCCAGAATCAGATTCTGGGCAGAAATAAATTTTTGTGATTCTATGCCCGGAAACAATTTCTAAGCATTTGAACGCATTTGGTAACTGCCCAAAATTTATATTCTTAGAATAGAAAAAGAACAGAAATGCGTTTGGTAACTACACAAAATTTCTTTTTATTAATAATATTTTGAATTTTTTAATATTTCTTTTTTTTTCTTTCTTTCCCCTTTCTTTTTTGGTCATGGCCGGCCGCCGGCACCGGCGACCGGCCAAGGCCGGCGAGGGCGTCGCGGCCCTCGCCGGTGGAGACGGCGAGGTCGGCCTCGCCTTGGCTGGACGAGGCTCGACCTCGCCCAGATCTGGCAAGGCCGACCTTGCCATCGCCAACCCAGGCGATGGCGAGGTCGGCCTCGCCTTGGCTGGACGAGGCTCGACCTCGCCTAGATCTGGCAAGGCCAACCTCGCCATCGCCAACCCAGGCGACAGCAAGGTTGGCCTCGCCCAGCCAAGGTGAGGTCGACCTTGCCTTGGCTAGGCGAGGCCGAGAGCCGTCCTCGCCGGCCACCAATGAGGGCCGCAACGCCCTCGCCATCCCTGGCCTGTGGCCGTTTGCCGGCAGCCGGCGAGTGGCGGGGCCGAAGAACAACAACAACCAAAAAAAAGAAAAAAATCAAGAAGAATCAGTTCTGAAAAAATTATTCTAGAATCAAGAAGCTACTTTTTTTTATACTTGATTCTGTTCCAAAACTGATTCTGGACATAATTTTTTGCAAAATTGTGCCCGGGCACAAAAAATTTAACAAATGGATTTCTATTCCCAAACTTATTCTGGAAACAAAAGAACAGAATCAATTACTATTTGGCAAGTTGCCAAACAGGCCCTAAATCTTTTTTTTCTTTCGCAAACATGACTCTGCCTTCCTTCTTGTGTTTTCACCACACGATCAATCAAGATCATACTCTTGCTTTGATGCTAACAAGATTTCTATATACCTTGACCAGTAGAAACTCTGTAACCCAACACGCAAGATTTACCAATTGTTTAAAATGGTGCTTATCTATGAGAAGACCAGTGCTAAGTACACCAAGGGTGCGTTTGGTAACCATTCTGTTCCCGGAAACAATTTCTGCTCAGAAATAATTTTTTTATTCCATTCCCGGAAATAATTTCTAAGCATTTGAAGACGTTTGGTAACTGCCCAAATTTCTATTCCTGGAAATGAAAAAGAACATAAATGCGTTTGGTAACTACACCAAATTTCTTTTTATTAATAATATTTTAATAATGTTTTTGAATTTTTTAATTTTTCTTTCTCTTTTTTTTTCCTTTTTTTTTTCTTTTTTTCTTCTTCTCCTTCCTTAGCCCATGGCCAGGTTGTCGGCGCCGGCCACAGGCCAAGGCCGACGAGAGCTGGACCCTCGCCGCCGCCCTCGCCAGATCTAGCAAGGGCGACGGCGAGGGCGGCCCTCGCCGGGGACCAGCCACAGGTCAGGAAAAGTGAAGAAGACCAACCAAGAAGAAGAAGAAGAAGAAAAAATTCTTTTCCATTTCTGATTCTTGTTCCCAAAATTGATTATTAATTCTGTTCCAAAACTGATTCGGGGAACAAATTTGTGCCCAGGAACAAAAAAATTTACCAAACGGATTTCTTTTCTTTTTTTGTTCTGGGGAACAAAAAAATAGAATCGGGTACTGTTTGGCAAGTTACCTAACAGCCCCCAAGTGTTTGCAAATCCAGGGCTCAAGAAGTGATCTGTAAGCCCAATGATGGGCTTTGAACTCCATCCTAATCGATGCATAATTTTTTTAATCTTTAATATCTCTACTGAACCCTTTCTAAATCTCCATGACTCACACTGGTCTTTGTATAAATTTAAGTGAGTTAGGGTGCGATTGGCAACCATTTTGTACTTGGGAACTGATTCTACTCAGAAATGATTCTACTTAAAAATGATTCTTTTTTATTCCGTGTCCGGGAACAATTTCTAAGCATTTGAAGGCGTTTAGTAACTGCCCAAAATTTCTATTCTTGGAATAGAAAAAGAACATAAATGCATTTGGTAACTGCACAAAATTTCTTTTTATTAATAATGTTTTTAAATTTTTAATATTTCTTTTTATTATTTTTCTTTCTTCTTATTCCCCTTCTTGGCCTCGACCTCGTCCAGATCTGGCGAGGCCGACCTCGCCGTCGTGACCCAGGCGAGAGAGATGGGTCACGACGGCGAGGTCGGCCTCGCCATGGCTAGGCAAGGCCTCGCCGTCACGACCGCGAGGCGCCCTTGCCCAGGCGGCGATGGCCACGATGCCCTGGCCGATGGCCGGCGGCCGGCCAGGAAGAAGAAGAAGAACAAACCAAGAAGGAAGAAGAAAACCAAGAAGAATCAGAAATGGAAAAATTGTTTCCAGAATCAAGAAGCTACTTTTTTTTGCTTCTTGATTCTGTTCCAAAACTAATTTTGGGAACAAATTTTTGCAAATTTGTGCTCGAGAACAAAAAATTTACCAAACGGATTTCTGTTTCAAAACTGATTCTGGGAACAAAAGAATAGAAATTGTTACTGTTTGGCAACTTGCCAAACGCGCCCTTAGTGTCCTAGAGTCTAGTCTTCTATTATAAGAAAGAAAACACAAAAATCTCTCACATAGTTAAATAATAGGGTCAATTTATAATTGGTTCTATATCACGCCATTAGTGTTGCATATAAGTTGCGTTTAATTAATTATAATAGCATACATGTCATTTAGACTCCATGTTAGTTTCTTAATACATTATTAGATTAGAATTCATATAGTCGTAGCATTTAAATTGATCATGTTCGTGTTAAATAAGAAAAACCCAAAAAGAAATAATTAGTGTTGGATAATTACATTTAGAAATCAGGTCTAGGTCACGCATACATCGGATTATTGTTTGGCTTTTGGTTATCATCTTTGCAGAGTCCTTGTTGCATCGGATGATAATGGAATTTTGCTTTTGATTTGATTAGCACATCAAGATTGTTCCATCTCAAGTAATTTATTGTCACGCCCCGGACCCTAACAAGCTCACGACACCCCTCGAGAGTCGTATCGAACGCGACGTCCTAGGACGTGTCGCCGACCCAAACGAAATACCCACATGAATACGCAAGCGGAAGCGAAATATAACAACCCAGACAATATGTGACATTCCGAATTTCGACCCATTTTTGGGATTTATAAAACGGGTATTTCGTCAGTGCGCTTATAATAAAATCTCGCCCGGAACTGATCACTCTTTGGTTATTTTTAAATTAGAGATTTCGCTAGAATCGCACTCGATCGAATTTGGCCGTTATTTAGAGCCCGAACTTTGGTGTCGAATTTCTCGGAGTTTCGTGACAAATTTAATTGGACAGTGTCGATATTATTGTGGCCAGCGTCGACATTGCCCGGGATAAGTGAAAAGTGAAATTTGGACCGGGTGCAGATTTGGACCAGTAGACCTCCATCGTAGTGTGTTTTATTTAGTGTCTGTGGGCCAAATCCTAATTTATTAATTAGGGTTTTTCGTGGACCGTTGGATCGATTTCGGATTCGAACGAGGACCGTCGGATCGCACTCGAGTGCGTTGACCTCTCTCTCTCT